GACATCAGTTCCTTTTAACATGTACCCACCATCGACATTAATATATGAAACAGTTTCTGAATATTAGTTGGTAGATTACTCATTCGCTCTGTACATTATACATAATTTAGTTTGTGGGCGGATGACGAATGACTACATAATTTTTTGTAACTCTGTTCCATTCAGTTATGAAGTTATAGCAATTTATATTTTTTTGGCGAGTAGTCAAACTTCGAGGCCTGGCCCCGCCCCTTCAGCATATACGAAAACTCAGAATTCTTGTCTCATTTTGTTCGCCCATCCCTTTTGAGCAATTTTACACAATTTTTGAGACGATTTTGCAAAAAAAGATCGAGCAATCCAATCAGAAATGGACACTAAAAACGCCCAAAACGGCTAAAAATCGCCATTTCAACCCAAAATGGACGACTTCCTGTTTGATATTGACCATGGTTGCAAGAGACTTTTCTGTGTGGACTGTTGAGTACTACAAGTGTACAAAATTTCATAACTGTACGATAAACTAAGCTTTATGGAGAGGGGTATTTTTGACTTTCTAGGGGGCGCTGTTCAGCCATTTTCTTTGTGATTGTTTTTGGGACCTTTAAAATATCAAAATTTTCACCAGGCCTGACAAGTTTGCAAAATATTGTGAGTTTTGGGGTATGATAAGGTCCCCCAAAACGCCATTCAAAGCGGGCACGGAATAATGAATAATAATCAAGAGGAAAAACAAAAAGAGGCCTTCGCAGCGCTTTCGCTGCTCGGGCCTAATAAAGAGTCAACCATCGTGTCAAGGACAACCATCCACGCTGAACCTCTGTGACCCCCTCACCCCCACTATGTGGCCACATGTTTGCTGGAATCCCTCAAAAACATCAGCAGCATCAAAAACAAACGGATTTACAAGAATCTGCTTATCTGATGTTCTTAGCTGCATCCCAGAGAAAAACATCATCATTTTGGATTAAGTGATCTGTGCCAAAAGCTTCTGTAATGATTACAGTGACGATTTCTGTGTAATACCTTTTTTTTTTTACCCCATTCTCTAATGTGTCAGACTGGATGCAGCTTTCAGCCTCTCAAACAGGTAAAGATGGGGACTGTTAGCTCACCTGAGGCGTTAAAACACGGTTATGAGACTAGAAGTACATCTTTGGGCCCAGAGAGACGATCATATCCACATCTGGGATCTCCAACAAAGACATCAGCTCAACTTAAACCTAAGCTTGTGATCAGACCAAGTGCTTTCTTTCTCAAAGAAACAAGAAGCTAAATCCTTAAACACAAAAGCTGGTGATTTGCTTAAAAGGCTTTCAGCAATAATAATAATAATGATGACATAAAGCAACTCTGTTAGAGTCCAGGTCTAATTTTAGTGGAAAGTGTCAGCTCACACCAGTTGTTGATCATTCTGCCTCCTGACATCTTCCCTGATCAAACACCCAGTTGGATCTCAGCAGCAGAAGCTGTGACAGAAATCCTTTGAAGAATTACAGATCCCTCATGCTGATTAACGGGTATGTCTCTTATCATCTTAATCTGGATTTTTTTTTATTCTTCTGTGGCTTATTGACTCGACTGAAAGGCTGTTTTTATTGGAAGGGTCCAGGAAATTAAAGAAAAGTACATAAATCATTTTGTATTTAATTTAGCTTTTCAGTAGGTGGACTCAACAAAGTCAGGTTTACTTTTTTTGTTCACTTGAAGGGAAAATGGGAAGGGAATGAGTTGAAAGGTGGAGAAAAAATGTCTCCATCAGCTGGTCTAAAGTAGAAATAATGATCATAATCCAAGTTTATCTGAATTAATCAGATTAGAAAACTCGTTCAAAGTCCTACGTCACCCATCCAACTTCATCTACATTCAAACAATTTAAAATGCTTTTATTGGATTTAACATTCAGGACACTAAACTGTAGCGACATGAATGGCCTCATTTGTGACCCAAAGGTCACACTTCCTCAGCTGGGTCAAGCTGTCCTGGCTGTACTTCTATTCACAGATTATCCATCACAGGAGACACAAAGTCAGCTGTAAACCATCTTTAATCTGACTGCCTTTTGTCTGACTGCTGTTCCGTCCGCAAGACGAAGGACACTTCAAGATTTAAAAAAATCATTTTTAATTAACTCTTTTCACTGTCTTATTACAAGTTTCATAGATAATCATCATGGTTCATTATAAATGTATTTAATTACTGAAATGAATTATTATTCTTTGGTTAATAATAATTATTATTTATAATAATCAGTAATCTTTAACAGTGTACAGAAGGTCATGTGCACTTATACACACCATGCAGGACACAGACATCAGGGTTAAAGGTAACTACTCTCACATGTCTTTGCTCCATAACCAAAGCTTTCTATCCCTGAGAGGGCGTGTCCTGAGGTTTTGTTAAAACCTAAACTCCTCAGTTCAAGTTCAGTTCTTGAACTCATCAAAAATCTCTGTGGCACGAGTTTCAGAAGATCGAGACGGCTGCTTGAAGCCTCTACTAAGCTGTTCTGTCACGCCGAAAGATTTGTTCCAACAAACGCCATCTGCAATCAGCTGACACAAAACTCCTTCAGAGTTATTGATTTTTGAGATGCAACCAGTTTCATCAGTCGTTGTGACCCGGAGACATCTCAGGACCAATTAGGTCGCACTACGATTCTTCTACCCACCTCGTGCTTGGGGGGTCATCATCTCCACCTGACATCTCAGATCCAAGAAGGGGGTCTCCTAATTGGGTGAGGTAGACCCTTCCGACAGATTGCGTCCGTATGCCTGTTTCTTTAAGAAATAACTTAGCTCAGCTGCAAAACAACTTTTTCACCCAGAACGCGTTTTCTCTCTCTGATAGAAACCTTCTGAGATTCCATTCACACATCCAACACACACACGTTTCATTTTAGTTCCATCCAGACACAGGTTGCTTTAATACCAAGTTTTAATTTCAAAGCTGTTATAAACTGTCATCTTTAAATTGTTAGTAATACAGGTGCTGGCCAGTAAATTAGAATATCATCAAAAGGTTGAAAATATTTCAGTAATTCCATTCAAAACGTGAAACTTGTACATTATATTCATGCAATGCACACAGACCAATGTATTTCCAATGTTCATTACATTTAAATTTGATATTTATAGGTGACAACCAATGAAAACATCAAATCTGGTATCTCAGAAAATTAGAATATTCTAAAGGCCAATGAAAAAATGTTTGTTTCTCTAATGTTGGCCAACTGAAAAGAATGAACATGAAAAGAATGTGCATGTATAGCACTCAATACTTAGTCGGGGCTCCTTTTGCCTCAATAACTGCAGTAATGCGGCGTGGCATGGACTCGATCAGTCTGTGGCACTGCTCAGGTGTTATGAGAGCCCAGGTTGCTCTGATAGTCGTCTTCAGCTCCTCTGCATTGTTGGGTCTAGCGTATTGCATCCTCCGCTTCACAATACCCCATAGATTTTCTATGGGGTTAAGGTCAGGCGAGTTTGCTGGCCAATCAAGGACAGGGATACCATGGTCCTTGAACCAGGTGCTGGTGGTTTTGGCACTGTGTGCAGGTGCCAAGTCCTGTTGAAAGGTGAAGTCTGCATCCCCATAAAGTTGGTCAGCAGCAGGAAGCATGAAGTGCTCTAAAACTTCCTGGTAGACGGCTGCATTGACCCTGGACCTCAGGAAACAGAGTGGGCCAACACCGGCAGATGACATGGCACCCCACACCATCACTGACGGTGGAATCTTTACACTGGACCTCATGCAACGTGGATTCTGTGCTTCTCCGCTCTTCCTCCAGACTCTGGGTCCTTGATTTCCAAAGGAAATGCAGAACTTGCTTTCATCAGAAAACATAACTTTGGACCACTCAGCATCAGTCCAGTCCTTTTTGTCCTTGGCCCAGGCGAGACGCTTCTTGCGCTGTTTCTTGTTCAAGAGTGGCTTGACACACGGAATGCGACACCTGAATCCCATGTCTTTCATGAGTCTCCTCGTGGTGGTTCTTGAAGCGCTGACTCCAGCTGCAGTCCACTCTTTGTGGATCTCCCCCACATTTTTGAATGGGTTTGTCGTCACAATTCTCTGCAGGGTGCGGTTATCCCTAGAGCTTGTACACTTTTTTCTACCACATTTTTTCCGTCCCTTCGCCTGTCTGTTAATGTGCTTGGACACAGAGCTCTGCGAACAGCCAGCTTCTTTAGCAATCACCTTTTGTGTCTTGCCCTCCTTGTGCAAGGTGTCAATGATTGTCTTTTGGACAGCTGTTAAGTCAGAAGTCTTCCCCATGATTGTGGTGCCTTCAAAACAAGACTGAGGGACCTTTTAAAGGCCTTTGCAGGTGTTTTGAGTAAATCAGCTGATTAGAGTGGCAGCAGGTGTCTTCTATATTCAGCCTTTTCAGAATATTCTAATTTTTTGAGATACCAAATTTGGAGTTTTCATTAGTTGTCACTTATGAATATCAAATTTAAATGTAATGAACATTGGAAATACATTGGTCTGTGTGCATTGCATGAATATAATGTACAAGTTTCACGTTTTGAATGGAATTACTGAAATATTTTCAACCTTTTGATGATATTCTAATTTACTGGCCAGCACCTGTACAATTTTAACTTTTTAAACCTGACTCATCTTTGAAATTAAACACAGAGTGGTGTATATTTGGTTATTGAACGAGCAAAGATTTCTTTTAAATCTTGCGATTTAATAAATAAACTTTTGCTATTAATTTAAATCTCTTAAATTAAATATTAATCTTTGGATTAAATATAGACCAAGCCAGTTGGCGTATGAACTTCTATCGATTATATAAATATCTATGGATATCTATGTAAATATAAGTTCATTAGCCAAATTGCTTGATCTTTCTCAGGATTTAGCAAAGCTGATAGCAAACAGCGTTAAATCCTAGTTATGTAGATTTACTACACTACAAAACAAAATTAGTAATTAATAGTTAGACCTAAAGAATTAATAATTGTATGGTTTCCAAAAGACATTGTACAATCCAAAAGAAAATTTAACAACAATCTAAATGTATTTATTCATTTGTTTGCATTATTGACTGTTTTATTTTTCAGGTCTCCCTTCCAGTCAGCACCTTGATGTGGTAAAGGGTTTTTAAAGCAGAAACATAAACAGCACAATAATCCACTCTGACTCAGATAAACATATTAAGGATGAAGAAAAGACTCATCTTAGAAAATCAACATGTTTATCGAGAAATTTGTTTTTCATTTTATTCTAATAGACATTTTTTTTTATTTTTCTTGCAGATAAAATTGTTGAAATAATTAAATAAGCTGTGAAAGTCTCTTTTCTGCGTAAAAACCCACTTGTTGCTTGTTTATTTTATCATTCAAAGATGCATTTTATCACAATCAATATGATTTATTTGTTGTACACACATCCATCTTCACACTTGTTTGTTCATATTTTTAGAGTGCAGGTGTACGGCTTCCACGAAGGCGCCGACGTTCTCCGGGTCCATGTCGGGGTAGAGGCCGTGGCCCAGGTTGGCGATGTAGCCCCTGGAGCCGAAACCCTCCAACATCTTCTTTACGATGTCGGAAATGCGCTCCTGAAGATGCGAGGAGAAAAGGCATTGCAGTTCTTCTATTTGCATTAAGTTGTTGGACAGTTTCAGGAGTTCTGAGGCAGAAACTTCTAAAAAATATCTCATTTTTAGCATCTAAAACAACTAAATCTTGCAGACAAAATGCTACTTTCCCCATGTGTTTAGATGAAAACAAACATTTAAATCTTAATAAGCCGACCTGAGGGCTTTAACAAAAAGAAAAATCAACACAGTTGTTTTTGACCAATAATCTGGGTAAAATTAAACATGAAATTCCATAAAGAATATAAACTGACATTTATTCTCATGTCATTTCTGTTAATTTAGGTTTCCACCTTTATGTTCAGCACACATTCATGTACAGAAAAGTAAAACACGCACACACACACACACTGTCATTTTGGCACAAATTATGATCCAGAGCTGCTGTTAGCTGATTAAGTTTAAATAACTGACTTTGAAGATGCCGATGAAGCTTTTGTTTTTATTTGACAAACCTTTGGGGCATAAAGAGCACAGGGGTCCATGTTTCCTTGCAGGCTGACCTTCCCTCCTGTACGCTTCCTGCACACACACGCACACACACACACACACACACACACACACACCCATGTTAATCCTTTAACCAGCAGGTTAAGTATTTGATGAGAAGTGCAGGAAACGCTGATGTTTGCTGACATAAATCCGGCCCTTAGTGACAGACCAGGGGACCGAATCAGAACGATTACCGTGCTGATCGGGGGTCGATGGTCCAGTCCAGACCCACCACCTCGTAGTGAGACTCAGAAAGTTCCTCTAAAGCGTAGTGAGCATCTTTAGCAAACACAATCTGGAACAAAACAGAATTGAATCCGTTTATGGATAAATGCTGCCACCTGCAGGTCATCACCTGTAAAGCATGTATTAATCCTGTTTCCAATCATTGAACAGGTGAGCATGAGGCTTCTCTCACCATGGGAACATCCTGGTCCATCTCCTTCAGCTTGTCTTTGACGCGGCGAGCGATGTCTCGGAGGTACGGCAGAGAGAACTCTTTAAACTGGACCGGTCCCAGAATGCCAGCATGGGACTCGAAGAGCTGCAGGGCCTGGGTGACAGAGGAGAGGACTCGGTGTCTCACAGCATCATCGGGACAGGAGAAAACACTCAAACTGCTGCAGGGTCTCAGTCCAGATTAAATATTGTTTTTAGTGGAAACGGGTGAGGAAAAGGTTATGATGATAGGCAAACCATTTAACCTCAGGGTACTCTTTTGTTTTCTCATCAGAACTAAAAGGACGAACACAAGCTTCAAAAAGGTAAATAAACGTAATAAATAAATATCTAAGCTTATTATGTAAATCGGGGATCTAGTTAGCAACTATGAATTTACAGAATTGGAAAAATGTCAGATTTATGTTAAATTATTTGTATGGACAAAAATAAACCACCATCTTTGATTTCCAGACTGGCTGACCCCGGATTAAACTGCTGCATGGTGATGGATGCTCTCTACAAGAGTTTGATTCTCAATGGAGTCCCAGTGAGCAGCAGGGGGCGCGGGTGAGTTTCTGACGCCTCCGGGAATAAACTGAAGCTCTGGTTACTCTTTTCTCGAAAAAAAAAAAGAGCTAAAAGTCGAGTTTAGCTCAGTTTAAAGCGTTGACATGAAACCCGTCGTTGTCAGAAACAACGTTGTAAATCTACAACAGATACTGTGCAGAAACAAGTCTGAACCCTTTAAGTGTTATTTAGTTATGACTCGACTAATAATCAAGTCATGACTGCTTGGATTTTGGTTCATTTCTAGTATTACTAAAAAAATGCTGATTTAATTATGTTTTTCTGCTGATACTCAGAAACGGCTCCTACAATCAGTAAACCTCTATTTTGTCTTGGATTTCACACAACACTGGTAAATTTGCTCTCCCAAAGTAATGAAGTAAGAACGACTTGTTTGAACTAAACAGGTCTTGTATTTATTAAAAGGAGTCTGACCTGAGCTCCGGCTGCTACCTGCCCCAGCAGATACTCAACGATGACGTCCGTCAGCATCCTCAGCAGCATGTGGCTGGACTCGGGGTGTCGGTAGAGCCAACGTTTGGCTTTAGAGTGCGTGTTGGAGCCTCCGCCCTCGATCATGTAGGACATGAGGGTCCACTGTGGACAACATCCCTGGTTAACGTCTCAAACCTTTAACGTTAAGCTGTCTGCGAGTCGGTTTGTCTCTCACCGGCGCTCCGCTAAATCCTATGAGCGGAACTTTCCCTTCTATCTTGTGTCTGGTCAGAGTGATGGCTCTGAACACGTAGTCCAGCTCTTTGCTAACGTCCACATTGGCCCGCAGGCGCTGCAGGTCCTCCGGCTCCTTCAGGGGGTCTGTGAAAGTCGGACCTTTACCCGTCAGCATCTGTACTTCCATACCCAAGGCCTTAAGGAGAGGAGCAAACTTTATCTTTAAATTCTGACGTGTAACATGATAGCAGATCTATTTCACGGTGAAGCCAAGCAAATTTAGGGGGTTTTAGTGGAATGAGAGAACCCGAGTCTGTTCTGTGGAGATCTACCTGGGGAACCACGAGGATATCGGAGAAGATGATGGCAGCATCAAAGGGAAAACGTCTCAGAGGCTAAAAGTGTGAAAACAAAATCAAGGTTTCAGTAAAATATAGAAGTATAACCCAACAGAAGCAAGTGGTGCTCGCTGCAGAACCGCAAAGGCGGAGCTGCACCAGAGTCAGCCCCGCCCATTCCATCAGAGTCAGTCCAATTCCTTCCAGTTGTCAGACTTGATAGCATTCTGGAACCAAAGAGGGTGTTATAGCTAATATCATCTAAAATGCAAGATTGAGGGCGGAGTTGAGAAGTTAATTGAACAGTTGTTGTAAAGGTTCCATATAATTAAAAATCTAACTTTTGGAACTTTTGACCATGTTATATTGTCGTTTCCTCACAAGAAACACACCAAAGCTATTGTTGGCCTCATTCATGCATTTTCCTCCCATCTCAGCTTCAATTTGGTCTCCTCTCCCGAAGCGGGTCTGGTCTTGGTTCTCAAATCTGGATATTCTGTGAATTTTCTGACTAATTATTTCTGAAAAGACTTCTACTGAGACACCGGCGGAAAAACCATACATCCCATCTACAAAGATTCACTGAATGGCACAATTACATGTAACACCACTTGCTTGTTATCAGATGTAGTGGTGAGGTGGTTATGGAGGCAGGCTGATATACTGTTTTGCGCAGGTTCGCCTCCCAGTAGCGGTAGTGCATAGGTAGTTTATAACCCTTTTTCTTCTTGTCTAGCTACACTTGCCAGTACTATGTTTACAACAATTTATTGGTATACCGTTTACAATATAATGACTAATGTGTTTTTTTATTTATTTGTTTATTTAGCCAGTGTAAGTCCATTTGTGAGCAGAGTTTCAACTAAAATGCTGTTTAGGAACGACCACATTCAAAGAACTTTTAGAGACATAAATATTTTGCAGAAAATAAACATTACAACTAAAATATAAACAAATTAAATGTTTCAGCTGGCTAAATAGATTGCTGCCGACCCCGCCGAGAGTCGAACCAGCATCAGCTGAGGGGAAAGCAAAACTTAGGGCAGACTATCTTGCCACTGAACTACCAGAACCCACACAACAATAAGCCTTAAATGCTGTATAGCCCACTTTTGTTAGAGCGGCTGTGGGCAGATATTCGCTAAAAGAAACACTTTCATTTCGGGACATATTCAGGCTTTGTCATGTAGCAAGTTATATTTATCTTGTTTAATTGGAGCATAGAACATAGCATTAACAATTATAAACTAGTAACAGCCGTAATTCATGTGGGTCAGATTAGTTTGCGATAAAGTTGAAAAACAAAAACAGAAGAAGTCAGTTGGCTAGGCTGAGTTTGCGTGAATGGGCGGGGCTGACTCTGGTGCAGCTCCGCCTTTGTAGTTCTGCAGCGAGCACCCTCTCAACAGAAGCCCAAGGCTAAGTAAACCTGCACAATAAATCAGGTATAGACTCAGTGTTAAAAAGGCTTTACCTGCAGCGTGAGCTCACAGCAGTGCTCTGGTGACCGACACGTCTCAAAAAAGTCCTTCCCTTCTCTGGACGCACGGAATTCTGGAGAAGAGATTCGACAAATGAGTAACAATCCCAAAACCGTATGAGAAAGTAAAAGATCACACTTATTGAAAAGAGGAGTTAAAACATACTTTGCACGCAGGATAAAAAAAAATCCTTTGATGTCAAAGTCACAAAAGAACAAGAAATGAGACATAATCAGAAACCTGGTAAGTATCTTCCAGCCTGTCTCATACACCAGACCGGGACATGTTCGGTTTGTTCTCCTCTGGCTGCTCGCAGGAATGTGTTGTTCTTTAACTGAGGAAAGTCTTTGGGGCTGGATTAAAAACAAACAAACAAACAAGTAAACAAACAATAAGCTAGTTTGAGAGCATTTTTTTCTGCAAAATATTTCTGATACAACTTCATTGCATTGATCTAAAATTTAGAGGGGAAAATGAAAACTGTTGTTTCTGAAAAAACTTTCAAAATAAAAGTCTGACTTGCAGCATGTTTAACAAATTATGAAATTTAACTGGTTGTCTTCATCTAACACAAAGGCATGCTCGTGTTATCAAAGACATTGGCGTCCTCCTCCCTTTTCTCTGCAAACACACTGATCATCCAGCTGACCTGGTGTCAGTGATTATAACAGATAACATCCTCTGCTCTCTTATCACCTCCCAACAGGAGGAAAAACGGTTGAATCAGGAGCTGGTGAGGAAGGACCAGTGATCCATCACAACCGTCTCACAGGTCAGTCACACTTACCTGGAAATATAACATTCAAAGGAGACATGAAACACATTCGTTTATTGTGATGACACATGAAGAGTTGTAGAGAAACCTAAAGGTAATATCAGGTGAAGAGGACGTCCTCAAAATTATTTTTCAAAATAAAGGTCCATTTCAAGCAAAAAACATTCTAACATTATAAGCTACAACAGGAAGCTAGACTCATTGCTGTCTCATTAAAATGTTTTCATAACAATGACTCAGGTGGGTTACATAAAGTCACTGCTAGTAGCTAAAATGCTTTGGTGAATCGCAAAAGAGAAAGTTTAACGGAAGTAGGAGCGGAAGTGAGCTACTTACAGGATTAATTCGTTCTTACTCATGTCGGCGAGGCTAAAACGTGAGAGGTTTTATTATAAAAACGTTTTCCTCAAAGCTTCAGCACCGAACTGCAGTTGTCTCATTTAAACACACTCTGCAGGAAGCGCTGAGCTGACTGCAGGGGCGGGCGCGGCCATCTTCGAACACCACGTGACCAGTGGGGTCAAACCGAGGCTTCAAAATAAAAGCCTTTATTTCGTTTGAAGACACGAAGAACTAAACTCAATAGCTTTAGTTTTGTCAATATTTTTACGTATTTGGTTTTATCACCAAAAGAAGAAAAACAGAGAATATCACGAACACCACTTTGATATAATGTGGAGAACCCTGATGAAACCGCAGAAGACAGAAACAACTTTGCATTTACCTAAAACTCTAGAGTCTTTATAGGAGAGCAGGGGACTCTTATTTGAAATGAAAACAAATCACAAAATGAATAAAAGAATGGCACAACTCAATAATATTTGATATTTCTGCTCCAATAGGAGCTTGCTCATTAAAATAACAATGATAAGGAATTGTTACATGAATGAACACGCTTGTTGAGTCATGATGAAATGTAACATGTGGTCCATTTGATCCATTTAAAAACGTTAAAAGGATAAAATAAACAACTTAACGGTTTATGTCTTTTGTCTGTAATACAGTAGAAATTTTGTGCAACAATAATGAAACACTTTTCAAACCCAAAAATGGAAGTTTAGATGTCATGAGAGTTTATTTGTATTTAAACTAGTTTTCTAACAGAAAATATAAAATACATTCACTAAAGACAGACAAGCATAAAATAGAGTGTAGTACCAGCTTTCAAACACTGGAGGGCAGAAACTTCCCATCTTCCCTGATCTAAATGCTGTTGGAAGCCAGCTTCTTGTTCTGATTGTTGCCAGCAGAGGGCGCAAATTCCCAATTATTTCAACACAAAACATAGTGTTTAGCATCATTTAAAGAAAGTGCTTCTCCTAAGTAACTCTTTTAACTTTATAAATCCAGTTTCTTCTTCTCTTTTTTAGCCCTCCTTAATATTAACATTCCCAAGAGGACAAAAAGAAAGATTACGATTTTTTAAATGCTTCATTAAGTTAAGGAGACTAAAATATTCTCTTCTAAAAGGCTTAAAGCAACAAAAGTGTAGGACCAGCCTTCAGACACTGGAGGGCAGCAACTCCCATCCTCCCTTTTCTATTTGCTGTTGGAAAGCAGCGTGTTGTTCTGTTTCTTTGCCAGTAGAGGGCGGCAATTCCCCAATCTTTCAAGGCAATAATACATAAATGTTTGCAAAAAATATAGAAAGTGTTTCTACTACGTACCTGTTGTAAATGTTTATTTAGACAAAAATTTAACCGTAAAAAAGCATTTATTTATGGTTACTGTTTACTAAACTGGTTTAAATGATACATTTCTAATTTAATTGCTGTTAAGCTGATGTTTGGTTTCATTGATACTCTGTTTATAAGGGATTTGTTTGTATTATTTAGGTCAACTGGATGGAAGAACACATTTTCAGCCCTCTGGCTTCGAGATAAACAGGGGCGAATTTATGATAGAAGAATATCCAGAGGTTAACCCAGATGAGTGATAGTTGTTTTTATTTTTAATGATAAATTTCAACTTTCAGCTTAAATGTTATAGAATTAACACAATGAAATACATTTTATATACATATAGATCACACACCAGTTACATGGTGTCAAAGACCAAACATACTGATAAGTCTAAGTGAAGCCATTAAATGATAAACCACGTTAAGCTTTTAATAGACTTCATTGTAAAAGGCAAATACAGCTACTGAAATAATGGTAAAAAATGAAAGCTTCTCAAGTTCTATCCCCAAAAGAAGAAAAACAAAGAATAGCATGAACACCACTTCAATATGAAGTGGAGAAAGCCCGATGAAACCCCAGAAGACAGAAACAACTCTACAGTTTCCTAAAACTCTAGCTTTCATAGATGTGAGAAAGCGGGGTTAGAGCAGCTACTCATAAAATGACATTTGAAATGTAAATAAACAAATTCACAAAACCTTTGTACAGAAATATTTATCTTTGAACCACAGATGAAGAAAAGACTAAATATTGGATGTTTCTGCTCCTATAGAAGCTTAGTCATTAAAATAATAAGGACTTATTACATGTATGAAACTGCTTCAGGATTCATCATGTGGTCCATTTGATCCATTTAGAAGATGTCAAAACATTAAATAAAACACCTTTTGTACATTAATAATCAAACATAACACTTTTCAAACCTAAAAATGGAAGTTTAGATGTCGGGGCTTTTTTGCATTTAAACTGGTTTTCTAACAGAAAATATAAAATACATTCATTCATTACAGAATGTGGAGCAAAAGTGGAAGGTGTGAAATGTCTTTCCAGTTCAGCATCACTGCTGTTGGTACTGTGTCTCTGTGGAGGTGTAGAAGTCATCCAGGACGCTCTGGACGTAGTCGAAGGTGGGTCTGTCCTCGGGCTTGTGCTTCCAGCAGGACAACATGATGTCATACAGCTCTGTGGGGCAGTTGTCAGGCTGAGGCATCCTGTAGCCGCGCTGCACCGACGACATCACCTCTCCTTTGGTCATACCTGCAGACAAACACAGCTCCATGTCAGACACAGCCATGAAGTGTAGGATGTAAATGAAACAGCCAGAGTGCAGCACACGTTATGTTTAAATAGAGTTTTACACGAAAGAACAAAAGACAGGTTACAGCTTATAGCTTCTTCATATTATAGGCCAAAAAAAGTATTTAGTCAGCCTCCAACTGTGCAAGTTCTCCCACTTAAAAAGATGAGAGGTCTGTCATTTTCATCATAGCTATACCTCAACTATGAGAGACAACAGGAGAAAAAAAATCCAGAAGATCACATTGTCTGATTTTTGAAGTACTTTTGTCCCTTCACTGGCAAAAAGTATTGGGTCAATAATGAAGGTCCATCTTAATACAAAGGTCAAAGATTTTATGCAAGTCTTCACAAAGTTTCACACATTTGCTGGTATTTTGGCCCATTCTTCCATGCAGATCTCCTCTAGAGTAGTGATGCTTTAGAGCTGTTGCTGGGCAACAGGTAAAAAGAATCTTGTGATTTACACTCCCTCCAAAGTTTTTCTATGGGGTTGAGATCTGGAGAGTGGCTGGGCCGCCCCATCGTTACTGGAGCGATGTGTTTGGGATCATTGTCATGCTGAGAGACTCAGCGATGTTTAATCTTCAGTGCCCTTGCTGATGAAAAGAGGCTTTTATTCGGGATCTGAGGATACATGGCCTCATCAGTCATCCTGGTCCCTTTGCAGAAAAACAGCATCAAAGCATGATGTTTCCGCCCCCATGCTCTACAGTAGGTATGGTGTTCTTTGGGTACAAATCAGCATTCAAACTCCTCCAAACATGGTTAGAGTTCTATTTTGGTTTCATCTGACCAGTCTCCCATTCCTCTTCCGGATCCTCCAAATACTCTCTAGCAAACTTCAGACGGGCCTGCTCTCTGTCCCAGCTCTCTGCAGGTCATCCACTAGGTCCCCCGTGTAGTTCTGGGATTTCTGCCCACTGCTCTTGTGATCATTTTGACTCCATGGTGCATCTTGCATAGAGCCCCTGATCAAGGGAGATTATCAGTGGTCTTGTATGTCTTCCACTTTCTAATAATTGCTCCCACAGTTGATCTCTTGACACCAGCTGCTTACCTATTTCAGATTCCGTCCTCCCAGCCTGGTGCAGATCTACAATTTGGTTTCTGGTGACAGCTCCTTGGTCTCAGCCGTAGTTTGGAGTGTGACTGAGGTTGTGTACAGGTGTCTTTTATACTGATAACAAGTTCTAACAGGTGTCATTAATACAGGTAAAGAGTGGAGGACAGAGGAGCCTCTTACAGAAGTTACAGGTCTGTGAGAGTCAGAAATCTAAGTAGCTTGCATACGCCATTAAACACTCACTGAAGAAGAAGAAGAAGAAGAACAACAAGAAGAAGAACAAGAAGAAGAACAAGAAGAAGAACAAGAAGAACAAGAAGAAGAACAAGAAGAAGAACAAGAAGAAGAGAGTCAGAAATATTGCGTGTTTGTAGGAGACTAAAGACTTATTTTCCACCATAATTTGGTAAAGAATTCTTTAAAAATCAGACAATGGACAATCGATTTTTGTTCTCACGTTGTCTCTCGGGGTCTTGTTCACGAGTGAGGGTAGGAGGGATCGGGAGATCGACAGGCGGATTGGTTCGGCGTCTGCAGTGATGCGGACGCTGAGCCGATCTGTCGTGGTGAGGAGGGAGCTGAGCCAGAAAGCCAGGCTCTCGATTTACCGGTCGATCTACGTCCCAGTCCTCACCTATGGTCATGAGCTTTGGGTAATGACCGAAAGAACGAGATTGCGGATACAACCGGCCAAAAAGAGTTTCCTCCGTAGGGTGGCCAGGCTCAGCCTTAGAGATAGGGTGAGGAGCTCGGACATTCGGGAGGGACTCTGAGTAGAACCGCTGCTCCTCCGGATCGAAAGGAGCCAGTTGAGGTGATTTGGGCATCTGGTCAGGATGCCTCCTGGACGCCTCCCTGGGGAGGTGTTTCGGGCAGGTCCTGCCGGCAGGAGGCCCCCGGGTCGACCCAGGACACGTTGGAGAGGTTACATCTCCAATCTGGTCCGGGAACGCCTTGGGGTCCTGCCGGAGGAGCTGGTGGAGGTGGCCGGGGAGAGGACGGTCTGGAGCTCCCTAGTTGGGATGCTGCCCCCGCGACCCGGACCCGGATAAGCGGAGGAAGACGACGACGACGACGTTGTCTCTCATACAGGTGCTGGCCAGTAAATTAGAATATCATCAAAAGGTTGAAAATATTTCAGTAATTCCATTCAAAACGTGAAACTTGTACATTATATTCATGCAATGCACACAGACCAATGTATTTCCAATGTTCATTACATTTAAATTTGATATTCATAAGTGACAACTAATGAAAACTCCAAATTTGGTATCTCAAAAAATTAGAATATTCTGAAAAGGCTGAATATAGAAGACACCTGCTGCCACTCTAATCAGCTGATTTACTCAAAACACCTGCAAAGGCCTTTAAAAGGTCCCTCAGTCTTGTTTTGAAGGCACCACAATCATGGGGAAGACTTCTGACTTAACAGCTGTCCAAAAGACAATCATTGACACCTTGCACAAGGAGGGCAAGACACAAAAGGTGATTGCTAAAGAAGCTGGCTGTTCGCAGAGCTCTGTGTCCAAGCACATTAACAGACAGGCAAAGGGACGGAAAAAATGTGGTAGAAAAAAGTGTACAAGCTCTAGGGATAACCGCACCCTGCAGAGAATTGTGACGACAAACCCATTCAAAAATGTGGGGGAGATCCACAAAGAGTGGACTGCAGCTGGAGTCAGCGCTTCAAGAACCACCACGAGGAGACTCATGAAAGACATGGGATTCAGGTGTCGCATTCCGTGTGTCAAGCCACTCTTGAACAAGAAACAGCGCAAGAAGCGTCTCGCCTGGGCCAAGGACAAAAAGGACTGGACTGATGCTGAGTGGTCCAAAGTTATGTTTTCTGATGAAAGCAAGTTCTGCATTTCCTTTGGAAATCAAGGACCCAGAGTCTGGAGGAAGAGCGGAGAAGCACAGAATCCACGTTGCATGAGGTCCAGTGTAAAGTTTCCACCGTCAGTGATGGTGTGGGGTGCCATGTCATCTGCCGGTGTTGGCCCACTCTGTTTCCTGAGGTCCAGGGTCAATGCAGCCGTCTACCAGGAAGTTTTAGAGCACTTCATGCTTCCTGCTGCTGACCAACTTTATGGGGATGCAGACTTCACCTTTCAACAGGACTTGGCACCTGCACACAGTGCCAAAACCACCAGCACCTGGTTCAAGGACCATGGTATCCCTGTCCTTGATTGGCCAGCAAACTCGCCTGACCTTAACCCCATAGAAAATCTATGGGGTATTGTGAAGCGGAGGATGCAATACGCTAGACCCAACAATGCAGAGGAGCTGAAGACGACTATCAGAGCAACCTGGGCTCTCATAACACCTGAGCAGTGCCACAGACTGATCGAGTCCATGCCACGCCGCATTACTGCAGTTATTGAGGCAAAAGGAGCCCCGACTAAGTATTGAGTGCTATACATGCACATTCTTTTCATGTTCATTCTTTTCAGTTGGCCAACATTAGAGAAACAAACATTTTTTCATTGGCCTTTAGAATATTCTAATTTTCTGAGATACCAGATTTGATGTTTTCATTGGTTGTCACCTATAAATATCAAAATTAAACGTAATAAACATCGGAAATACATTGGTCTGTGTGCATTGCATGAATATAATGTACAAGTTTCACGTTTTGAATGGAATTACTGAAATATTTTCAACCTTTTGATGATATTCTAATTTACTGGCCAGCACCTGTAGATGAGGGACACCTATGATGAAAATTACAGGCCTCTCATCGTTTTGTGTGGGAGAACTTACACATTTGGTGGTTGACTAAACTTTCTGCCCCACCGTGTATAAAAATAAATCTGCATCTCATATTTACCTGGGTAGGGGATTTTTCCATACGTGATGATCTCATAAATAAGAACACCAAAGGACCACATGTCTGATTTGATGGTGAAGCTGCCGTAGTTTATGGCTTCTGGAGCGGTCCACTTAATGGGGAATTTGGTTCCTGAGGGGGTGGGAGTGAAGAGGTAGACATGAAAATAAAAGGTTGTTATAAAATTTACAGTTAGTGTCCTTCACAACACACAATCATTACCTCCATCCGTTCGTGGGCACGTTTATTTTTTTATTCCATATTGACATATTTAAATGCATTTTTAGATTCCCGCTACTGTAGCTTCTGTGTCTCCGGGTTTCTGGTCAGTTACGTTACATAAGTAGAAACGTTTGTTTATAGCAAACCTGCACATGATGAATGCAACTACACATATTTGAAAGAAGAAAAAATCCATTCTGCTGGATGTGTTTAAGTTAGAGTGATTTCCACCAAGCTGCTCCAGATCAGACAGGTGGAGGTATTTGTCGTTTGGACGCTGTAGACCTCAGAGGCTCTGTGGAGCGAACTTTCTCTCCATGTGTCGATTCAGCTGGCTGGAAATTAGAATCCCGGTGGCACCACAAACCATTAATTCCTCTTTCTTGCCTTTTTCTTTTCCCTTCTGAGGTTTAGAAATGGCCTCAAACGCTTGCTTTTGTATCTATACAAATGTTTTTGTACAATTTATTGATCTAATTCTCTAATGTCAACATCTGGTGAAGTTGACACTAGTGCTATGAGTTATCAGTGTAAATGAATGTATTTATGTTTGCCATCAGCGGCTAAACTAAGAGCTGACTGAAATGAAGCCAAAAGTGTCCATCTGGTCACCCGGAATGGCCGTCTTGCCAACTCAGTGGATGATTTATAGTTTCGGTGTTTCGCAGGGAGTTAAAGGAAGTGATGCTTTTCTTTGATTGGAACAAGACTTGCACAATGCAAGAAATGAGACACACTCATACTTCCAATCAAACACACACACACACACACACACACACACACACACACACACACACACACACACACACACACACACACACACACACACACACACACACACACACACACACACACACACAATTTTACCCTCTCTAGCAGAGTACTCATCGTCCTCGATGGCTCTCGCCAAACCAAAATCTGCTATTTTGCACAGCAGACTCTCAGACACCAGGACGTTTGCGGCCCTCAGGTCCCTGTGAATGTAATTCTTCTTCTCTATGTACGCCATGCCCTCGGCTATCTGAAACAGAACACAAGCGCGTTTCGTTCAGACTCGTAACGTCAGCAGAGAAGAAATGAAACGGAGACGAGCAGATTGAATAACTGAGTGACATGTTTTCTGCTTGATGTGGGTCAGAAGGGTTGGAGGAAAAGTCACTCTTGGAAGTATTTGGTGGTAAATCACCTGTGCTGAGAAATCTATCAGCTTTGGTAGCTGCAGGTTGCATCCATCTTCACTTTTTAAAAAGTCTAGAAGGCTTCCTAAAGACAAGACAGGACAGGAAGCAACATTTGTTTAGACTGAGACTGTGCGGAGCGTAATTTTACTTTCATTAGAGAACCAAGACACAAAGTTCCCCTTCCTCCCATCAGAGCTCTGTAATAGTCACATTTATTTGAAATGCCTGAAGCGAACATGCTAGGAATCCGTGCTGATTTAAATTACCGTTTGCCATGAACTCGGTGATGATGTAGATGGGTTGGGTCTTGGTGATGACGGCGTAGAGCCGAACCAGCCTGTCATGGTGCAGCGTCTTCATCACGTTGGCTTCATCCAGGAAAGCTTCCACTGTCATGGTGCCGGGCTTCAGCGTCTTCACCGCCACTTTGGTGGTGTTGTTGTAGTACGCTGAATCCACAGAAAAACACCATTACCAGTCAATCACACATGGCATCGTGGGTGCTATGTGGCTGCTTCCAAACATTTTCCAGGTCCTAAAATTAGTCCTGCACATAACTCACAGTTCCTGTTTTTTTGTTTGTTAGTTTTTTGCTATGGAATGCCAATGGGGAAATTTAGCATGAGAAATGCAAATACCAGCAAGCATTTGTTTTTAGAGTGATGGAAAATATTACATACTAGCACCTGTGCATGACTTCAAAAGCTAAACTTTACCAAGGCTTGCATTGAAGATCCTCGCACTGTGTTTTGGGGAGCCACCATAAAGGCTTTTTCTAGTATTTTTCAAATTGTGTGTGTTTGTCTGTGGGCATTTTATAGCAACAAATCTGGTGAAATGCACAGATTTAGTCATAAGAGTTGTTACATTTGGTATCTAGAGGAAGAAAGAATAATTCAGTCAACTTGGAGTTGCTTCCTTTGCTAAGGTTATGGACATTTATGATGTAAACTTGCACAGGTAGCTAGCTTGGACACAAATAGATAACCTCTGACAGGATTGATGAGCTAACGGCTAGGACCAACGTGAATATCAAATGGGACTTCATGCAAAAACTTTCTTACATGTTTTCATCGACATCACTTTGTTATTCCAGATCATGAATCAGGAAAAATAAAACATTCCAACCAGATGTGTTACACATTTACGATAGCTATCCTGGAAATCTAGACCAACCGTAGCAGTAACAAAAAGACTTGGCTCTGCAGGTTGGTCCCAGTGGCGGTTCTACATCGAATTACTCCCCGGGCGAGGCCCCCTTTGAGCGCCCCCCCCCCCCCCCCACCACCACCACCACCACCACCACACCACCCCACCTGCATAAACACACGCATGTTTTCTACAAACAGGCATGTTTTATTAGAACGACTATTGAACATTCATTTTTCTAAGTTGCACATATTTACATTAATTACTATGAAGTTGTCAGAATGTAAAGCAATACACATTATATACTGTATCAAAATATATAGAATCAAATATACAAAAACAAACAATAACTAAATATTAAGACAATATGAACATAATATATAATAAATATTCTGAATAGCAAAAGTATTTCACACATAACAAACTAAAGATAATCACTACAGCATTGCACTTAGAACAGAAAACACAAACTAAAATTAAAACCTAACCTTGATGCAACGTCATCAATAATGTCATCACATGAAATCTGCTCCCCTACTGAGTGATTGATACTAATCAGAGCCAGGTTAGTGAGCCGCCCCTGAAACATAGTTGACCTCAGGTATGACTTGATCAAGTTTTGAAAAGCTCCTCTCAGCTTGAGCCACAGTGACTGGCAGAGCAGTCCAAAAGTTGGGGTAGATCTCCAATAGATCTCATGATCCATGATATTTTAGAATTGCCTCTGAAATTGTAATTTAAACTGACATAAAAAACTGTAGACTAACAAAAATGCCAACTTTTACAGAACAAATCATGTAAAATAATCAGTGCAGCCATCTGCAATAAATAAACAGGATAGTTAGTGGTGACTGGGGAGTTTTCTTCTGCTTGTAGAGCTGTTTTATTTATTATTATGTGAACATGATCAACATGTGTTTGTTGCTGTTCAGGCAGGCCACAGGCTGCAGCGAGCATTTAACAAATCCTAGTTTGAATCAGTAAAAAATGATTCAAGGACTTTTTTTCGAACCATTTGAATATTCGTTTCAATATTTCAGCTCTATTAGCTCTGTTAGCCATTAGTTGACCGCATTTAACCGTTAAAATCCCAGTTAACTGGTTCAAAAAATTGAAAACATGCATCATGAGAGCTACATACCTTTATTTTTCTCCTCTTTTTTTTCCCCCTGAATGGGGCACCTGGTGGTTTTAGCCTTTTTATGTTCATCTCTTCTGTTTGGCTCCTGACTCAGTAAGTTTCCTTTAGTCAGGACTAAACAATTTGACCTTAATGGGGGGTGACCACAAAATCGTTTTGTTTTTCCTTTTTTTATTCGGCCATTTCTCACAATTCAGAGAAACCTGAAAGAATGATAGGCCTGTGTTTATGATATTATGAATGAAATATGGAAGAACGTTAAGATGTGATTGACTTTAGCCATGTTAATACAGTTGATTCAGCCCCTGCACGCTCATTTCATTTGGGAAAGACGCAGAGGTGAATTCCCCCACTGCACCCCTCCCCTTCCTGTTCTTCATAGACACACGGTGCACGTGAACGTTCTCAGTCAGCAGGAGCGCCTGCAACTGCAGGGGGCGCCAACTTGCTGTTTCCAATCCAGACACTGTCATATGACAGATAATAGAAAACCTCGGCGCGGCGCAGATTTCCTTTTTTTTTTTTTTTTTACTCAGCGCTTGTGCGCCCCTTTTGTGTCATGAAAAAATGCCGCCCCGGGCAACTGCCCTGTCTGCCCGTGCCTAAAACCGCTACTGGTTGGTCCCACCACACTTTACTGTACAGTCAGCAGGTCTATTATTGACCCGAACAGTTTTGTGCCTGACTAAATGCAGCACTCTACATTTGTTGGATAGGCTTAACGCTACATCTGTGACCAAAATAAAACCAACAAAGATGGAAACAGCATTCATTTGTAATGGCTTTGGCATCAATTTTGGACTATTTAGACTTGGGATTTGTGTTTATACATGAGCAGGTACTGGTACTCAAGTCCAGAATTTCAAAAAAGGATGTATTTACTGCTTCTTCAGCTGTGTATGGTGGACTGCCCTGTTGGCTGACATCCATAAAGGTGAGTATGTCATGCTGTTTCTGATTGGTCCTAGTGCTGTCCGATTTTGTATAGAGACAGTTTCATGGTCAACCCTAGATCCCAACAGTGAGCCATTTCAATGGTTCATGGCCAGACTAAGGGTGTTTCTGAATGCCAAGGAACCTCGCCTTGATGTCTTGGCCCTGCCCAGGTTGCCTAGGAGATACGTCATTTGGAACCGCCAAGGCATGTTCCAATGTTCATGTTCTACCGAGGCGTCTGTTTTCCGTTTGCTAGCCGTTTGGCTAACGTAAGGATACACAGGAGGTGTTTTGTAGCCTACATTTGGTCAAAAATTCCCAGAATACACCGAGGTATTTTTAAAAGGATGGCGGATCAGAGGCCAGCAGCTACCTCGGGGGCAAATTTCAAGTTTAAATGTACGTCAACTAATTGTAGCAATCGGGTTGATATCTGAAATGTTTGTTTTAAGTCCAAAGCAGTTATCTATGGTTGGTTAGTTGCTTAGTAGTTGCAGCTTCAGTGGCTATAGGTAGTAACTTGCTTTTATATTTAATTTAACAAACATATACACAATTTAAAAGGGAAAAGGCTCATTTTATTTATATTGAAACTTGTACATATAAAATATGTTACCTCTCGTGTCACGTGATGACACGTGACTGCTGCAGAAGCCGCGATCACGTGATGCAAGTCTGTTCTATTTAACTGTTTTCTTTGACCAAGGAAGGACAGTGTCCTTGTAAGCAAGGCACCTGGCCTCGCAAGACATCGCCTTGCGAGGCCAGGTGCCTTGACATTGAGAAACGCCTTATTATCTGTTACAGCTAACAGATAGTTCTTGGTATTTACATTTTCAATGAATATACTTCTGCTTGAATAATTTTTGTTCAGATTTAACTCAGATGTTGAAATTAATTATCTAACAGAAATAGTAGCAACTACCACCTATTTAAAGTGAGATGTTCCTTTCCAGTTATTTAATTTTTTTCTTAGATATCAGCATCCGCATGGGTGATCAGGGGTTTAAAAAGGAAATCAAGCTGCTTGTGGAGCTACCGTCATCTTTGACTGGTTTAGTTGACTTTATATATTTCACCTGTTTGGTGCAGATTCTGGCAAAATAACTGGATCAAGCATCTTTAGATGTTCTTATCTGATCAGACATAAAACCAGTTGGAATGTTATTATGTAGCTGATAACTGATGGAAAAGTTCTCACTTAAGTGAGAAGCTTCTTCATTGCTAATCAGTGTGAAAAATAAACAACATGTGCACGATGGCTAAAACCGCATCCAGGTCTGATCTAGAAATAGCAAGGTGCACCAGACAGAACTTCTCTAGACACCCCTACAGGTCTCAGGTCAGAGTCTTAATGTCAGTTTTGTTTTGTATCTCCACGCTCACCCATCCAGACTTCTCCGAATTGTCCTGCTCCCAGTTTCTTCACCATCTTTATGGAGTCTTTGGAAATCTCCCATGCGTCCTTATCCCAGGGTCTTTGAGCTTTGGGTTTCACACATGGACTTTCCAGTTTACGGCACAAACCATCTGCTTTGTCTGCAAGGTGCACACACAAAGACATCCTCTCATTTCAGTGGCAGTATGTAGCTTCCTGGAGCTCGGGGGCAGTATATAGATTTCAGGGTAATTTTACACCATATCACCGTGACTGTCGTTATGTTTGAGAAACATTACGGTGGACGTTGTCACCTGTGGAGCAGAAAGCATGCAACCGTGGCATGATTCACCAGACTTTGCCGGTCCTTCAGTTAATTCCATTGAGAGAATGCAATGCCAATTATTAGTTTTCTGGTGCTGTACTTTCCAGATCTGCTCGGGTTCCTGCGACTACCGATGATGTCATCTTACTACGGCAATACCGCTCGGCCAAAATATATTGAATCTCTTTTTCAATTCTGTTCTTTCACGTAGTTTTTGGAAAGAGTTTAGCAGTTTTGTTATTAAATACATGTTTCTTACTGCCTAAATGTTTTTGAACGCGGTAACATAACTTCCATAAATTGCACATCCAGCCAATCATCTAGTAAGACGTCATCGAGAGGCGCAGGACCCCGAGCCGGCCAGAAGGAAACATGGCGTCCCCCATAGACGATAGACTTTAGACTCGATTTTTATGGTTATATGTTAAGAAACCGCCAACATTATTCAACTACTGGACATCATTTTATTAATTTTCAACAACATTTTGATGAGATTAACGATAAAAACTACACATTGTCACTTTAATATTCTAAACTTGAAACATTATTATCAGTATTGCTTCCAAATGAAAAAAGTAAATTTGATGGGTAGCTGCTGCTTAAAGGACTTAAAACCCACGTTAGTTTGAATTTTGACTAAAGTGATAGCTACGGGCAAAACTGCATCCATGATGTGTTTTTTTTTTTTGGTCAACAGCTAATCTCCTGCGAGTTTTATGAAGACATTTTGGGTTCATGCACCCTGAAGAAATAAAAAAATTCGACTCGTATTGTGCTCCTGAGTCCAACTGATTTAGTTGAAATTGAGGTGGTTTCTTGAACACACAAAGATGTTTTCAGATGTGTAAGTTTTAGACTCTTATTCTGAAGAACTGAAAAAAGTTCTTAAAGCTCTACTGTTTAGTACCAACCATCAAGTCTTTTTATTATTTTTTTCTTCTGAGTGGCACTGATACGCTGTCATAGGGCGGCCTGTTTGTGGCGTAAACTGGACGGTGAGTCAGACTGTGACAGGCTTATCATTAATGAGGGTTAGCTTTTCTCCTCTGATCAGAGCTGTGCTTACTGTGGTAATGCTTGATCATGCTGCTGATGTCGGGGAAAGAGATCTTAGGAGAGATGTAGAAGCCGCCGTTGTCCAACTTCCTGATTTTGTAATGCTTGACCGAGTCCATCCCTGCGGAATCTGCATCTCTGATTGATAGTGAATAATTTCCTGACGGAAAATCACAGAAAGAAAGAAAGAGAATATGTTAATGTTTAAATATGACTTTAATGACCTTTCAGCTCTATTTCTGTACCTTTAGATGTTTCACTTTCCCTGATGAGATAGGATCCTGGTTTGTTAGCTGGTGCTAACAGCTGCCTCTCTGAATCCTTTCTTGTGATGTCTTTAAAAAACCAACTGCAACAAATTGGAAGTTTTCTTACAATAATGTGCAAAATCAAACAACAACAATTAGCAGAGCAGCCTAACAGCGCTCAATAAAGCTTGCTATTAGCACATAGCTACTCACTCCTCTGTTTCCATGGTATCTACTTGGGCAACATAATTAGAAGGGATGAATCCTTCTTTTTGGGTGGCCACAGACCGCGCCTTCCACCAGTCACCTTGTCTGCAAATAAAAACATTTTACCACATCTAAAGTCATATTTTTTTTAATTTTGCCACTTTTTCTTGTTTCTTTTTGATTTATTTTTGTTTATTTAATAAAATATCATTAATAAATAGTACATGTGTGTGTAAGTTACAGAATTTGTGATAGTGACCAACATTTACGTGACTCACTCTCCTAAGACCACCATCTTTTCTCCCTTCTTGAATCCTAAGTCATCAGGATGCGTAGCTGCATATGGATAAAGGCCGACCACTACTTTTCCAGATCCTTTTTGCTCTGAGACAGGAAAAAGAAACATGTTTAAACCATGTCACGAAGCAATGTTAACAAACCAGCACCAACATATGTGTGTTTAGAGCTGTTAAAATGCAAACAGACATCTTAACAAACAAACAAACTTAAAATGTTTAAGACACTTTGTCAAAGAGATCCAGTATGCTCTTAATTCTTCATGTTAAACACCCAAAGCTGTAGTTTGCTCTATTTTTCAAAGAACTATTAACTGGAAAACGTGGCGCTCCGTAGATCACATCAGCATGTTTTAGCTGCTTCCCTGTTCCAACACTTCATCCAGTGGTTGGATTAACTTGCAGAGAAACATAAAAAAATGAATGATTGTGACCCTCAAAGCCTGGCATCAATGCAGATGATCAACCTGAGGAAGATGCATCTCTTAGTTTTGAATACGTTTCCTTCTTTATTTCATTCATTTTAGATGCCATTGTAGCATTTGAAGTTGTCTTTTTCTCCTTTTTAAAAATATCTTTAAAGGTGTGGTTGACTGAAAAAACATTTTTTTATTATTATTTCTGATTACAATTGATCACTCTGAGTTTTTCATGCAGGGTGAACATGAAAGCAGTCTCCTACACCTCTCTCCTGCATTAGCTTCTGCTAGAAAGTAGACAGTGAAATGCTAGGATTTGAAAATCCTCACATATCTATGTCACAATGTGAATTTGCATTCATGGCCTTGCCCATCGTGGCTTGCACCCGCCCACAGGGAGGCTTTTAAAAAAAATTTTGGAGCAAGGAGAGAGAGCGGAGAGTTTCTTGGTCATAGTGATTTTGCAAAATGGCTGAGTGTGTTCTGTTAGCCAATCAGAAGCAAGGTGTGTGCATATAATTAGTAATAATGAGTAATCCTGCTGTTTTCAGCCCACCTCTGAACCAGCAAACTTCTGCATCGCAGAACAGGGGTATCATAGCTTTTTTTTATGACTCATAATACATTGGTTTACACTATGGAACACTGCAAATGTATTGAATAAATTAGTAAACCACACCTTTAAGCACATTTCCCAAAATGAATAGATACAAGAACTGTATGGAAGAAGAGTTTTAAAAAAAAAGTCCAAACAGAATCTTTGAAAAATTAGAGAAAAGGTTAGAGAAAAGTAAAGTTTTTAGTGCGACTCCCAACTAGATTAACGCTGTTTGCTCAAAGTGTTGAATTTATAATACTGGAAGGGTCACAAAATATGAACGCTATCACAAAAGTTTATGTAATTTTTAAATGGCTGTCAAGTGAATCACATTTTATTTAAAATAGTTTCCGTTTTTCTTACTTGGTAACAGAAACAATGGAAGCCCATTCCCGCCACCCTGATGTAAACAATGTATCTCTAGTTATTTTATAACAATGAGATAAGTTAGTCGTAATTTTGAAATACAGGAATATTTTTTATTAATCAGACTGGCAGGAATTGGTTTCCATAGATATCTGACAGTTCTTTATTGGTGTGACACAGCTGAAGTAATTAATCCATGACATCACAGAACATCCGTTCTGATCTTGATATGACGTCATTGAACCCAACTTGACCTCCATAGCAGCTCAGACGTAAAACAGAGATGTGCAAACAGCTGCTTGGTGACTACGTCCATCGTTACTTTTCAAATTTTAACTGAGTGAAAACTCTTTAATGCTGCTACCTTGATTAGCATTTTCCCATTGAATTCACAGCTGTTGTGGCTAATAGGCCAGAGCTAATGACCCTGAGTGTTTTTCCTCCCAGGTAGCAAAATAATGACTTTTACCAAATAAAGTAATTGAAGAAAGTAGAAAGAAATAAACGAAATACCTTCCATTCTCTGGAATACCTGGCCAGGTAACAGTGTGTTAGTCTGTAAAAGCAAATAAAATACACATGAAATGGTGTTTTTATCGTAATCAGCCGATTTTGACAGACCTCGTTTCATATAAAGGGAAACTCTGACTCACTTTCTTGCAAATCGGTGATAAATGTGAAAGTATTTCTAGAGAATGTTCTGCCTTTCTCTCCACCTACTTACTCTGGTGATTTTTGAAGTGGAGGTGGGGTCTTTGACATAGACCCTTGAGTCAGGACTTTCAGCCTGCTGGCTGGTTTTCCTCTCCACCATTCTCCCCAGACCGCCGCTGAGTGTGGACTTCAGACAGCCCATCCTGCCTGCAGGAGGAAGTGAGAAAAAAGGGTTAGTGAAGCGGTCTGTTACACATTTATGACGACTGAAACCAGAAGCTTGGCACACCTGCAACTCTCAGCTCTTAAAAATAAAGCGACAAAACAATTTTTTTTTTCATTTAGGCCACTTCTACTTATGTGCTGCAAGAAAGTCAAAGACAATCATCTATAAGTAGCAGCAGCACACAGAGCCTTGTAGTGAATCTTTTCCAGCTGAATGACTTTAGTTAACCATTTTGCTCAGATGAACTATTTCTTGCAGGTGGGATGAAAACCCACATCACCACATCCTCCTGCAGACCTAGTTACACCCTTGGACCTTTGACTTCAGCCTCCTGGGCTTTCAGGTTATTTATGACTTAAAAAAAAACATATTTATGTAGAAAATATTTAGATTTAATCCAAATACTCTGCTGAAGTTTTAAATGGACGTTGTTTTCCTTTTACACCAAAAGCCCAAGGTCCAAGCCGATGGGGCTTTCATGGAAATTGCAAAACTTCACGAGTCAACGACTCGTTTATTTGACAAAAACGGATTAGTCATAAATGTGGACCAAGACAAAGATCTTACCGTAAAACCCACAACATTCATCTGTGTAAAAAAAGTGCAAAACTTTTTGAACAATCACTCGGATGTTTTTGTGTCAAATTAAAAGTGGTGGATGTAGAGCTGTGAAAACATCCTGTTTGAGGTCAAAGGTCAGACATGGTTCCATCAGTTAGAGCCACTGCTCCAGATCCTACAACAGCCCCTTCTCTTTAGCAGATCAAATCAGATTTAATCCTGTTTGATTCAGTTCAGTAAAAGCAGCGAGTGGCACGTGTTTAACATCACATGACTTGGTGCTAACCAGTAAACCCATTAACCACTTTTACATAAAACCAGTAAAGGCTACTACAAATATCACCATTTTAAAATTGAAACTAAAAGGTTTCCTGTCCACATCTAGATCAAAGGTGATAAAATAATTTTTTCCTTTACCGATTTGGGGAGTTTGTTGGATTTTTGCGCACATGTGTAAACACGAGTTTTGCAACCTTTGCAGTGTGTTGTAATCAAGACAGTTCCGCTTATTCTTTGAGCCCAGATTGCTTTGTTGCAGCTACAAAGTGTGACGTGTATTCCAAGATGTCATTGATAGAATCTAAAGTGGAATAAAATATAACAGCTAATAATCTGTAGGCAGAACGAGTTCAGCCGTGTACGCTTTACGGAAGCAGCATTATGTAAGTTAATGATGGCAGGAGCAGAATCATGAATCAGAACAGAAGAAAGAGCAAAGAGTGAGTCACCAAACATTTTTGAGTGTTGTTTTTTTTAGAAATCATCTGTTTTATTCTGGTTTTAAAAGTTCTGCTCTGAAGGGGAAAAGCAGCACTCCAATGGGACCAGGCAGCATCTGCAGAGTTGAGATTGCTGCCAAAGTTTTGCTCTCCTACGTGTGCTAATGAAAATACTTTGTAACGTCCAGAAAGGGTCATGTTGACCTACATAGTGACCGGTAAGGACGTAAATTTCACTTTAGAAGTGGGGGGTGGGGGGTATCTTTATAGTGTGCTCTAATGGGAAACAGGCTTCAGCACAAACGGTTGTTTTCCGCTTGGTCCTAGAGCTCAACCAGTGTCAATTTAATATAGCGTAATATTGCTTTTCGATGGTAAAAGGTGCAGGGGTCAAAACCATAGGTCAAAACTTGATTTTGGAAAAAGTGGGGGGACATAACACCCCCCCCCCCCCCCCCCCCCAAATTACATCCATGCCAGTAATCTACAGAAATAACTCAATTTTCTAAGCGGATTTTAAACTCTGTCTTCTAACACCCAGAAGATTAGTCAGTGCTTGTAGACATTCCATGAAGACAAGACTGTCAGCCTATGTCTCCAAGCAAAGCTTTCCTCTGATAAGACTGCAGGATTCCACACTCTGAATATAAAGTGAACATTTACAACTCATAAGTTAAATAATCATATGGTTGGATGAACCAGATGTTATATGAAATGTTGAAATAATCTGTTCTGTTGTTCTGACAAGGATATTACATATTTTCATCAGTGCTGTGTGGTACAACAAGTTACTCACCATCTACACTCATACACAATGTTCATAAGATATAAATTACAGTTGAGGTCACATATCACATAAGTTTAAAGATTCTTTATCCACAGAATGGGAACATCTTAAATCTGGAAGGTGTGGTTTCTGAGGGATGTTTGGCAACGCCGACAAACCTGTCAAATTCTGATTTGCAGAAATGATAAACTCTAGATTATTAAAACCTGAGTGACTGCCCGAGTTACTCAGTTTCCAGCTGACACCTCGATTCGGCCAAATCGGCAACGAAGCCTTTTTGTAACAACCTCCTTTGACCTTAAAGTCAAAACCTTGCCACGACGCTGCAAGCGATTACAGACAACAGCTCATTCCAGAGCTAATGCAGCTCTCAGACATCCATCTTGGACACCTAATCTGCAGACCCCGAGTTGCATCTCGTGGCCGGGGAAGCTGAACTCAGAGGAAGCTACTCATCTCTGAGTATCGTGATCTCGACGTCCGGCGACCTCACCACTCTGACCGCAAACCTCCGGACCGCCGGGAGCAACTCATACATGAGTACCGTAGACCTCCATACTGGCGTCTGATGCTGTTTTATAAATAATCAAGTTTCTAGTTTATAGCAGACCAAGATTCTCTTACACCCAGAATTCACAATCTCTTCCAGATACAAAGGCTCTAATGAACAGCACTACACATACACTCCATCACACATCACAGTCCATCACATACCATTTGTTCATAGCTTGTCATATAATATAATTAGTTTAGAAAATAAAGTTTTTTTTAATTATATACTTTAGGGCTGCAGCTATCGAATATTTATGTAATCGAGTACTCTATCGAATCTTTTATCGATTAATCGAGTACTCTAATAAATTACTCTTTTGCGTTTTTAAACCATTATATCAAATAGCAAGTCATAAAATATGAAAGACCTCTTGAAATGAGAAAGCAATAGCCAGTTATTCATTCAAAATTAGTTTTCAAAACTTCAGCACTTCAACTTTACGTCACAGTAAACGAGAGGCTGCGGCCCAAACAGCACCAGAACCGCTCACGGCGCATGCGCAAACATGGCTCGCCAGCTGTTTCCCTATTAACACACGTTCTTTTTAATTTCTACACTTTTTTTATCTCACACTAACAACGATTGTCGAGAAAGCATGTTTGCCGTGGTTATGTCAAATTATATTGATCACACAACATTTATTTACTTTCTTTCGTTTTCCTCCGCCACTCCTAAATACCTGTGTCCTTCTGCAGCAATCCTGAGAGACAACGGACATCAATAACAACACAGTAAAAAGTCCGACGTGTTGTAAAAACTGCTACTTTTAGCACATTTTAAGTCCGACGTGTTGCTACCAGACGTACGGTGTGAGCTGAAACTAAGTGCTACAAATGAAAAAGTCGCACAGTGTCTGCAGAATATATAGAAATACAGGCTAAAATGCATTATCTTGTAGAGGCTCCGAGTCCGCTTGCAGAAGTGACATTTACATGTGGATGTTTCCTGGTCAGGTTGCAGCATCGAGGAATGTGGTGTTGTGGCAGGCTACATCCATTTTACAGTATTTACACTGGAGTACGTTTTCCGCCTTACGACGTGAAAATTGGTCCCACACCGTTGGCATTTTCTGTCTTTTTCGCACTTCACCGGGGTCCACATTGTCCACCACGGCTTAAAAGAAAGTTAAGTTGCATTTGCTACTCGCGTGTGCATTCAGTGCAGTGTGTATGTGCGTCACTTATTTCAGTCCGGGTGAAACATGACCCCGGGCGATTGCAAAGCCATGAATTAATTAAACATGAATTAAACGAAGCTTCGAGGCAGAGAATTTGACTCGAGGATTTTTTGTACTCGAATTATTCGAGGTACTCGAGGAATCGTTTCAGCCCTAATATACTTGACTCTGTCTGAATTAATACGAAGTGTGTTTATGGTCCCTGAATAAGCAGAGAATCCTAAACGCTTCTGGTTAAACATTCAAAGATCTATCAGGTTGATATTTTATATTTATATAGAATAATCACATCTTATTGTTCATAGTTAAATACGCAGTAGTTACGCGCACGCACACACACACACACACACGCACGCACGCACGCACGCACGCACGCGCGCGCACGCACACACACACACACACACACACACACACAGATGTTTACTTCAGAATATGTACATATTTCCAGTAAAAACTGTTGCAGTGCCAGCCTCTTGTTCACCTCCACTGCTGCAGGAGACTCCGCCCATCACATCACTGCTGTTTAAATGATTAGATGAGAAAATAAAATGATGTCATACTCCTGATATTATTATTATTATTAAGGTAGCACGACTCGTAGCACGACTCAGGGTTGTGAATGACCACAGTCACCAATTATTGTCACGTGTCTTGCCCATGTATGTCTGATCTCTGAATTGTGCGTACTGAAACTCTAATGTCCCTCTGGGATTAATAAAGTATCTTTGATTTGATTTGATGAGTCACTTTTAATCGTCTAAGTTTTTGCGCAAAGCCACAAACTAAGACACTCAAAATAAAAGGAAAATAAAATATGGAGTGGAAATGGAGGAAGAGGAGTTAAGTGCCTGCTCCATCATAAGAGGGTTGCAGGTTAACACCCTACTTCAGTCTCTCCTGGTCATTGTGCCCTTGGGCAAGACACTTTACCCACCTGCTGGTGGTGGTGGTTGAGGGGACCAGTGGCACCAACTTTATGGTAGACTTGCATCTGTCAGTGAGCCCCAGCCCTCATGACAACTGTAGCTCATCACCATGTGTGTGTGAGTAACTGTTGTGAAGTGCCTCGAGGGATTCTTGGACTACATATAAGCCGTTTACCGTTTCCAACATCAGGTTTCTCCATGTATTTAGAAAAGTGCATGTTCTCGATGCAGGCGTTTGTGATTGTTTAAAACTTCTCACTTTATTTCAGTCAGATAATAAATTTCATGAATCCGTTGTAACAAGGTCGGGTAAAACAGGAATGTTGCTTATCTGGAACTGAAACGCTGGTTAGAGTTAATGTTTGACCTGATATTGGAGCTGGGCGTTAGGCGTCACTCTCAGGGGAACCAGCAACCCTCGAGACTCACACATTTCTTTACACTTACGCCATTCAGTGAAAACGTACAGTTTGTCCCCCACCACTATCCTCTTGTAGAAACAGTTTTGGGAGTAATTCTTTAATAAATCTAAAGTGAAGTTTGCACAACCAGACCTGATTTATGATGTTTAAACAAGAAAAGGAGGAAGAAATGTTCAAATGATTTACAATCGCACAGGTTAACCTGCAGGTCAGCTTCAGCTCCGTTTTGAACTGTTTGCTTCAGTTCCCCAGTTTTATTTTTAACTCGAGTCCAAGAACAGACGGAAACTGTACCGAGGGTCTGAGTGGACCTGAAGGACCCCATGTGATCCCCCCCCCCCCCCCCCCCTCCCGCAATGAAACATGAGGAATATGAAGAAAGCAAAAAGAGAAGGAAAAACATTTTTTTTAAATGATTTTAAAAAACCCTCTTAATCATATCAAGTAATGTGTTTAATCCTGTGGACAGTAACGTTTTATCTGTTGGTGTGTGTGTGTGTCGATCAGCTCTTACCTGTCAAAAGTAGAAATCCTCAGTGGGAAAAATGCTTATTCCAGCATATGGATGATTTAATTTTTTAGTCCAGAGATCTGCTATTTGTGTTGATCATAAGACACACACACACACACTCACCACTTGACTTGTGGACGGTTGTAGCAGAATGAGGAACTGGTCGGGGATTTTTTTTTCTTACCTAAACTTCCTGGTACAATTGTCTAATGATTATTTGCATAATCAGCATCTGACACACTCATTCATAGACACACACACATGCATGCACGCACACACCTGACAACACATTGTTAGAGCCCCTAAAGGCTTTTTAACTTCATGGTAAAATACAATAAGTACCTCTCACTTAGATGTGTTTAATGATCACTTCAGCAAATTTAAGTTCCTTCAAATCAAATTGCTCCACAGCGCCACCTACTGACCAGGCTCCACAGATAAAACACAGTAGGGGGTACTTAAATTTTATTCTGTTTTCTTTATTTGACACCAGCGGTATAAAAATAGTTACAGAGTCAGACAAAATGTTGCAGATTCAAGACAAGTGCTGTACATGCTGGGGGTGATGAGCTGAATTTTCACAGACTTGTTGACATCAGACCGAGTTCACCGAACCATCATCAAGCTGTACATCACTAAACAAGAACCACACTTGTGTCCCTATGTGAGCAGTAGTCTAAATAAGTAACGGTAAAGTGACAGTTTTGTTGGTTTTAAAGTGTTTTACTTCATAACTTCATGAACAGCCTAAGTGCAGAGAAATAGATACATTTGACCAAATCAATGAACAAACAGCTAATCAGCACACACAACCTGCTACTGCCTTAAAACTGTTCCAAGATTTTATAATTTCATTTAGAAAACCTTTACAATGCCAATAATTAAAAATATGAGGAATTACTTGTTTTTTCATGTAAAAATAACGGCATGTAGCACTTTTGGGCTTTTAGTAATTAAATCTGGCAAATATTTCCAAAAAACCAAGGTCGTTCATTTTTTTTCAACACATTTGCAGTGGTCTATAAATTAACGCCTTATGAGTCGCTCTCTATGGGAAAAGAGCTCTGGTGCTCCTGTTTCAGGAGCAAGAAGTTTGCCAGGCAAGAGGGTAGCAAATGATGGCAGGATTTGGAGTCTTATTTCCTGATATTTGGACATATAGCCTCTGATTGGCTAACAGAAATGTGACTCTACCATTGACTTGGTTTGATTTGCAGCGTTGATGTTTTATCTTCACAAAGAACACAAGCCTGAAGGAGTTCTGTCACGTTGTAGAGTTGCTAATGCTAACAGTTAGCTTCTACTAGCTGAGGATTGCTCTGCGCTCTCCTGGATGCTAAACCAACAACAGCCTTACTTGTCATGAGCCAAGACGGGCGAGCCCATGAATGCTAGTATTCCATGAGACATTTATCTGTCTGGCTTTTCTAATCCGAGTGCTTCCATGTCTATTTTCTATCAGTGGCAAACGCATGAATTAGGAGTAGAAGATCGTTTCCGCATTTAGCCTGCACGTTAAACTCAGATCAGATTTTAAAAAATAGCAAGTAAAAATTATTCCTAAGTGAACTTGGTCTTCACTATTTCTGCCAAAATAACCACATAATGCAAAAATGATAGATTTAGATTAGCCAGGTCCTATTTATGAGTCCTGTTGGGCATCTACACTATTTCTCCAAACAAAGGCTGTTCAGGAAGCCATCTTTCTTCATATTGTTTAAACAGAAACACTTTTTAAAGTAATAATATCCCTTTAAGGTGCAATGTTACAGTAGGCATCAAAAACAGTATAAAACCAGACGGAACATACATGCAAAGTGATCTGTACATTAGGTTATGTTAGCAGGAATGTGTTTCATTTATACGGCGATACGTTTACTGTTGAGAGTTAGAGAAAACACAACTCTGGAGCTCAGTATGTAGCCGCAGGCAGCAGCTAATCAGCTGAGATTTGAGACTTTACAGCCGATCATAAATCAGTATCGGTCCTGTGAAAGAATAAAAAAACTGCCCTGTTGCTCTTTGACCAGGAAGCAAGTGGAAACCGTTTCAGATAAACCGAAGGACAGTCCAGACGTCATCAACTGAATGGTAGGGCTGACGGTAAACGTAGTCACTTGTGCTGAAAATAAAACAGGCTGAATTCAAAGGTCAGAGTGGAGCCACAAGATATTTCTACCTTAAATGAACCATTGTGACCTATATTTGTCTGTGTGTCTTCAGACATGTGAAATTCTTTTTCTCCAAAATTTCAAGATTTAGAAGAAGGAAATGAAGAGAAACAAGTTTTAAACAAAACTTTCACTGTGCAGCAGTTTTACAGCCGTATCCGTGGCAACACAAAATGTACATGTGACATTTCATTTATAGGCATCTATATAATGCGACCGAAGCAAAATCGTGACACGGACCTGAACGCACGGCCTTTCTAAACACCAGTAGGGGGCGACTCTTTCAAATAGCCACGCCCATTTTGGGAGTGGGCAAACCAAAGAAGAGGAAATCCTTTACCAGCTGTAGTAATCATGCCTAAAGTCTAGTCTCATGTGCTCAAGTACTCATGTTTGTGTTTCTGTGGAAACTGGATATAGTTTTTTGATTCATGAGCTTTAGAATTTACTTTTTTAAATTTTGTTTCTTTAAAGAGCAAGTCAACCCCTACCAGAGTCTAACTCCACTCCCACTTCATGTTTGAAAAATGCAACAAATGCTGTTGCCTGGCAGACCGAGAGGGCGGAGCCGCTAACAAATACACACACACAGGCTCACGACAGCATTGTGACATCATAATGTACCAGTTTACATCATAGCATACCTCTTAGCCAATAGCGGTGGTAGATTTAAATTAGAATGCAGTGCAGAGTTTTTACCTGACAACGGCACAACGCTGCCAGTTTTAGGCAGAATATTTAAATTTTAACCAAGATGCACTGAAGTGCCAAATTATTGACGACACGTGTCTGCAGCACGATTAGACACTCGTTTATTTAGTTCATCAGCAAAAAAAAGTTTATTTGGGGGTGACTTGCTCTTTAAGAGACAGAAAAGCTTGATTCTCACTGGTTCTTTATGTCAAAGTAATCCTTCAGCTGATCTCAGCCACATAAACAGAGACGTTCTCTCCTCTAACTCTCAGCAGGAAGTGGAACATTTGCATTTCCAGACCTGTCAAACTCCTCCTAAGGCTGTGATGATATTAGCATTAATAGACAATCAGAACAGTGCAATTTGTTTAGTTGTTCTCAGAGGAAGACTGTTACACCCAGGGTTCCCCACCCTTCGCGCTACCCCGCTGGAACATCCTGCACCCCCCCCCCCCCCCACACACACACACACACACAATAAATCCAACTCCTATAGTCTTTCTAATCTAGTGTGCAGCAGAGTCTTGATCACTCGGTTAAAAGGAAGTAAAAGCCTTTAACAGGCAACACAGCATCACTACCTCCAACATCAGTCTACTCCCACTGAGAGTCATATCAGCATGTCTCAGAGGTCCTACTAAATGTTTCAACTACTGAAAACTCACACCGGAGAACCCCCTAAATCCTCTTTCACTTACCTCATTCAACCGTTGTGTTTGATAAAAACCTGAAAGCAAAATCAGTTTGAAAAGAACCACAAAACCGTCCCTTTGTGTACTCTGACTGGTTCTAGTCCACATGGCTGCATCTTCACAGTGGGTTTGAAGAGTCAACGCTCCGCTTCTAAAAGTCACATGAGCAGCGATGGTTCAATGAGCCAGCAAGTTTATCATCACGGTGCCTGCAATCCATCCTGCAGCCTGCTGAAGTTCAGCTGTTCCTTTGCTCCGCCTCCCGCCGGCCAGAGGCGTAGGATCCCTGGTTGTCCTCCGCATCGTCTCCATCTGCAGACAAAATGAAGGAGAAAAGCACAACTCCTGCTTTTTAGGATGGAATATAACTCTGGACGGTTGGACAACAAGTTAAAGGTTTTTTTTTTTCAAATCATACTGTTTTATATCACATCACTTGTATCTTCTCTTTTTGTTTTACTCTTTGATGCTGTGCCTAGTGATCTTTTTCCATTCGTTTCCAGACTAGCCTTGTCCGTCTGACCCATGATTAACCTCCTGAAACTACCCGAATTTGTGTTTGGTGCCAAATAAAAGAAAAAATAAACTATTCTAGCCATTACAGATTAGTCAACTCTCTAAACACACACATAAAAAATTTAACAAACATTTTGACTAACAAAAAAAAAAAGACACATTCAAAAGAGAATAAAATATTATAGTGCAAGAAGTACATATGTGGACACTGGGTCTTAAGAAGTTGTTTCCGTTGTCTGATTGTTACAATACAACAAATGGGCATTTTGTGGTTGAATACATTGATCCTGGTATGATAAAAGCACATTTTGTCCTATATTAGGTTTAAATCACCACTAAAAAGCACATCTCTGCCACCTGCTGACTGAACTGGTGCCTGCCGTTTTCTTAAATTGTGAACTCTGGACTGTGTTTCCATAATCAGTGATTAATCATGTATAACAATCATGATTTCAGTAATGAAAACAAAAACATACATTTCTGGATTATTCTTCCATCAATGAGTAGTCTTGGCTTTAATGTACATTTAGTTCACTAATCCAACATTGACTGAGAGACTATCTAAAGCAGGGGTGGGGAACCCTGGTCCACAGAGGGCCGGTATCCAGCACATTTTAGTTTCAACCCTGCTTCAACACACCTGATTTCAATCAGCAGGTGATTAACGGGCTTCTGCAGAGCCTGATGAGCTGCTGAACAGGTGACTCAACCACTGAATCAGAAGTGTCGGAGCAAAGACATGCAGGATACCGGCCCTAACTCTTGATCTAAAGACTCAGGTAGCGCTGTCGCGGTAACCGCAAAAATGAAATATCGCAATATGAAGAAGCCCACCGCGCTGCATCATGGGCCACCGCAATTACTGAAATTGATTCAACTCAATGATGCATGTTGAGAAGGATGGCTGCACTGGTATCAAAACTAAATGTTACTTCGCTCCTTTGGGAGCACTTTGGTTTTCAGTACGTCAGCTGCTGCGCAGCCAGAGTCCTTAGCCGCGACAGAGCTGCCACCAGCGGCAAAAAAATAATAAACGCTCGGAGACCTGCTTAAGTCCCGGGCAAGCACTGCTTCTGCAGCCGTCCCGAAGAGAGTTTGAGCCGAGCTGGAGCTCACGCGCTACCTGCAGGAGGAATGCATCCACCCTAAAGAAACCCCCCTGACATGGTGGAGCAACAACCGGGAGAGATTCCCTTTGCTCGCCAGAGTCGCACGCAAGTACGTGTGCGTTAGTGCAACGAGCGCACCATCCGAGAGGGTTTTCAGTGTTGCTGGAAATGTTGCCACCCCTCTCAGATCCTCTCTCAAAGCGTATATGGTTAACATGCTGGTTTTCCTTGTAGGTAACAAGGACGTGACCGAGCTATAAATCACCGTCATTCGTGTGTGTGTGAAAGTGAAAGTGAAATTATAGTGCCCCGCGCCCGGTACATGTAATTTTTTATGCTTGATTTTAAACAACTAAACACAATGGGGACTTGTTTCTTATTTGTTAGATGCTGCAACCAAATTTGCATTTAAAAGTTTAACCTTCTCCTGAATTTTGTTGTTTTTAAGTTCAGTCGGACTCCGACTGTCGGAGAAACAAACGTTACTGCGATCTGTGTTGTTACTGCCCTTTGATCTGCATTCAGTAAAGTGTTATAAAAGAAGGCACGGCAATTTTTAACCTTTTTTAAATGTGTAAGCATTATGTTTAGATAGTACTGCAATAAAAAAAAGGGCTGCAATAATATCGCACACCGCAATATTAAGCCACCCTGAATCACCGCAGGGGGAATTCCTCAACCGCGACAGCCCTAGACTCAGGAGTGATCCAACTCCCATTCACAGCATTTACAGCATTCAAACATTTAGATCTTATTGACTTTGCTTGACCAAGTCCCTAATATCTATCATAATTCATTAGCAAATTAGTGATTTTCCAAACCTTTTCTTCTATATACATTTTTGAATTGCACAACAGTTTAACATTTGTTTATGTTTTCCTCTATGCTATTCCACCAAACCACTCCTCGGACTGAAATGGCCATGCATGTTTGTGTGGTACATACACATAGGGCTGCTCGATTATGGCAAAAATAATTATCATGATTATTATGACTGAAATTGAGATCTCGATTATTTTAGACGATTTTTCAATTTATGTTGATTTTATTTGTTTTTATTCAGTTATAAAATTGCTCAGGGCACAATCAGGACAAAAATAAGAAACAAGATGATCACTAAAATAACTCCGATTCCCAGTATAAAAAGACCAATATACTTATAGCTCCTAGTTTATGACCCAAGGGCTATAGACCTTGGTTTAACTCATTTAAGTCTAACCAGTGCAGACCCAAATACCAATATCTTGCAAATACTGACAGCAAGAATTATACAGTGGCATTTATAACAAATAAATGCAAATAAATTGATGTTCACAAAATGTTGCATAACATTTATTGAGTCGTGTCAAGGTGCTGTAGGAGAGTGCACTAGCACCGTGTCCTCAGAGAGATTAGTTATTAGTTATCAGCGTGAGGAACTTATTTCTACCTTATTTATAAACTATTTATTTACAAGTCCATCAGTTAATGTAATAATTGTCCCAACCACAGCTGCACCCCCCACCCCCCAACCCGGTCTCACAGCAATCGGGGCAAGCTGCACGTGTGTTTAGCACGCCGCACGCGCACATTTAGCTGTTTTTAGTGGCTCAGGAGTCCGCAGGTGCGGTGTGTGTCACTCACTCTGGTTAATCCAACAGGGAGCCGGCTCCGAGAGCTGTCTTTGGCGACTGACACATCACTGCATCATTCCCTTTCCTAATGTCCTGAAGAACGGTCCGGAGCGCAGGCGGAGTGTTTAGCTAACCTGCAGGAAATGTCGGCGACAGTTATCCAGAAAGTAGCTAAGGGTTACCAGAGATGTTTCTGAGGTGTTCGCAAGGTACTTTTAAGTTAAAAAGTCAAGAAGGGGGTCTGAAAAGCTGCTAGAAATAGCGTCAAAGTCACTAAGTTGGCAACACTGTGGGAGGAGCGCTTCATTTGCAACTCAGGGTAGCGCAAGCGGGAGGAGCAAATAATTGGCTTGTTTTGTTTGTATAATCGTTCAAAACTCAGATCGTAATCGTGATTAAAATTCGATTAATTGAGCAGCCCTAGTACGTACACGATTGTCTCACGTTATTTTTGGCTTCTGAGCATAATCATCTCCTTCTCTCTCCCTAAAATGTTTTTGTAAGTTCAGTGGAAGAAGTAGATTTTTTGCTTTATACATTATTTGCACTGAGTTATATTTAACATTATCGTTGACCTGAAGCAGATTAGATTTTAAAAATAGATTACTGGTATGCTCACAGAATCCTACATTATGTATTATTCTTATTGCTTTTTTTGAAGATTAAATAACGGCTGTAAGGTGGTTTTATAAGTATTTCCCCACACCTCTATACAATAATTGAGGTATGGCAGAATAAGTGAACAGTACAATGTATGCAACACTTTGCTTTTCAGGAGATATTTCACTTTAGATAGTATTCCTATACTTCTTAATTTAATGAACTTTTGCACCATATTCTAAGCTTTTTGATTTTCACCTTAATGACGAATCTAAGAGGCAACATTAACACTATATTCAGATGCATTACAAACAAAATCTACACTTATGGTTGTCTAACAGATGTAGCAAGCTGATGGTAACTAAAGGGAGGAGTTTAAATTATCCAGAGAGATAAAATCTGTTGCTGTTTTTCTTTATCTTCTTAAGAGCAAAATCTCCTCTAAGGATACCTTATCTGTAGAAACAAGTCAGAATTTCTAGTTATATCATCTACTCACTAATGCAAATCAGGCTAACCTTTTAACCTGCTGTCATCCTTTAAATGAAGTGTTTTGATCTGTTTTACTCTTGGATTTTTTGCAACCCGATGTGCCGAGTTTTTTTTTAAATATGTATCATTAAAACACCTTAACATTCAAAACTAATCTTCTATTCCAGATCTGAATGTTTTTAAAACACACCATGGATACTAAATCCACTGACTATGCTGTTGTCCTTTAAGTGAACTAAACACTGCTTTTGCAATCATATAAATCTACTGATGGTCTTCGCTGCACTGAGATTAAGCTGGAAATCTCTGATCAATAGTTTCTTTAAAGCCAAGAATAGATTTCTTCTTTGGGAAAGCTCTGAGGTCAGCAAGTCCTTCAAACTCAACAGCTGTACAGGCAAGTTGACTCGGTGAGGACCAGTTCTTATCTCTATTTGTAGTTAGACAGGCCACACACACACACACACACACACACACACACACAGTTTATAAAGTTTTATTTTATTTATTTTTGTTCCCACAGAAATGCTCAATGATAGGTATTTAGCTAAATAATTGCCCCGATAAGAACTAATATTTAATTTTAGGAAACTTAGTGCTGCTGTGTTTGAGTAGCAAAAAGGAGCATAGACTTCAGGTTTGCTGTACTGTTTTCTATCGGTCATCTATTAATGATGCCTTAATGTCTGTCTGTAAATTATTAATCCTTCTATAGAAATCAATAAGCTATACAACATTAGTTCGGTACACAAGCCTCACAATTATCCACTCATATTTCTGTGCAGAATTGTTTTTACCTCCAGGATGGTGCATTGAACAAATGGTGTCTTTGATAACCAGATTGTTTAAAGATTCACAAACTTTGCCACAGATAATCATTAACATAAACCATGCCGTTTCTCATCCTCATAGGGTTTATGATCACCTTGGAGCGTTTCATGACTGGATTTCACATCTTTTTGGGACAAATCCATCCGAACACAACTTTGATGATAATAATTTGCAACAAAATTTAGATTTATTTGTACTTTATTGGCTTACCTCCTCCTCCGGTGTTGATGTGCAGCCGGGACAGAGACAGGCTGAGGGGCAGCTCTCGCCCCTCGGGGTCAATGGGACTCTGCAGGATGTCGTGCATGGCGTTCCTACGCCCCGTCCTCCCAGAGGCGATGAAATCTGCATACGTGGCCTCAACATCAGACATCGTTTGTGCATTGTTCACAGGACAACACCTACAGAAAGGTCACCTGACACTTTATGACCAGTGATGAGTCAACCACCAACATCTCAGTAAGTGCTACTAGAAATTAACAACTGATCTGCGTTTCTATAAGCTAAACATTTGTACTCTATTTTGGAGTAAAATAAGAATAAAGAGGTTGGAACAGCACGTTGTTTTAAGCCTGGAGCTTCAAACACAACAAAGAAAAATGTATTTATTCACAACAGAATAAAGTAACACGACAAGCTAGTCCCACAAGACAACATATCACAAATCAATATAAGCTACAACCAGGTTTCGTCAAGTTCCTAACATCTCCTTACCTTTTGTCAAAATGTATAGCCTAGCAAACCGGAGCTACATTCTCGGGCCAACGTAACCAAACGATGAAACTAAACAAACAGAACCTTCAAAATAAGACAAAGAAAAGCTAACAAGAACTTTAGCGTGTCCAAACCGGACAGGGAACACCCCGCAACGAGTCAAAACGAAAACACTTAATTAATATAAACCGCATCAGTGGGTCGGCTCCAAAAGTCCTCGGTCTTTTCTCTCTGGACGTCGCATTTCCCTTCTTTTCGTCCAATCAGCAGCCAGAAATCCGAGTCTGCGCGCTGATTGGACGGGAGACATTTAAGGATGAGAGGACCGTCGATTCGCGCGGTGCATTCATGGTCATCTAGTAATAATGAGATATCTTTGTCACCCTAACCCTAACCCTAACTTCCCTTCTGTTTAGTTCTTTATTTCTTCAGTCTGACACTATAAAAAAAGTCAACTTCATTTATCTGAAACTAGATCTGTCTCTTTTGATTTACTTGTAAAAGTAAACCATGATGAGTTAAATTTAGGTTTTTTCATTAAAATCATGCCAATTTATTTTGACATTGAGCTTTCTGACGTTTTTTTTCCTCTTGAGAGTCTCAGTGTAGGGCATCATAATTAACTGCCTGTAGATTTCATCTCCATCATATTCAAAACCAGAAAGTATTTTTATACAGTCAGTTTTTACAGGTTGAGTTTTTTATATAATTGTGAAACACAAAATGTCTTGAATCTGCAATATGATGTATCTTTTCATTTAGTTCATCGTTTTATTGAACATCTTTGTGAAAACTGCAACACAATATTAACTAGAACTTTGATTTCAAACCACAGGATGGCGCTGCTGTCATTACGATTTGTGCCCATCAATATTTAACTGTTACGTTGGAAGATTAGGGGTGCTTTCCCCCACTAATTGACATACAAAATATTTTTCCTGTTAATTAAAACAGAACGAGATGTTTTAAAGATTTTGAACAAGTTCTGTAATTATTTCAGGTTTACAAAATGATGTTTTATTTGTTTGTTGCCAAAGTGCTGAGACTAACTCACATTACCTTAAACTATATTGATATTATAAATCCAGTTATAATGAAGAATATATATCTGCATTCACTCTCCATTAAATCTTAAACTGGCATTAGCAGCTAATTTCTTTTGTAGCATGCTTTTGACATTTATTCTAGTTGTTTTTTGCATATCAGCAAAAATAGGATTTCTCTGAAAAAAAAAATAAAGAAAATATAGTTCCTATGCCTTTTAGTAAACGTGGCCTTGGTCAAAATAATACATCACAGAAGGAATCTTACATGCATTTCAGAGTGAACTGGCATACTGAAAACACTCAAAAGAAATGAAACCCAGAATGTAAGAGAAAAAACTGGAAACATTTGAATTATGTATATGCAAAAGGACAGATGGTCTTGTATAAAATGGCTGAGAGCTCTGTAAGACATTCAAATGAACTTTATGTACAGCTGATGCAATGCTGTTGGCTGCTTTACATAAACCCAAAGAAGAAGACATTCATTAACCACCAACAGTGAGCGTTACATTAAAGTCTTTACATTCAAAGAAGAAAACGTACCTGAGCTCTACCGCTGGAGACATCGTATGTCTTCCTCACGGCAAAGGTAGAACTCTTTAAAGGAGTTTAACCTCGTGAGATGAAAGCTCATTTTTTCTTCCTCACGCGTCATTCTCTCTAGATGTGCGTAGTCTTTCTGTATTATCAGCTAACGTTGGACTTTTTATAAGTGGACAAAGGTTCTCTCCGCTTCCTGATTTCTTTTCAAAAATGAAGATTACCATTCAGAAAGATTTCACCTTTAGTAGCTGCTTCCATAAAAGTGTAAAGTTCAGATCTCACTGGAGCTGTTTCTGCACAGGGATTTATCAGAAAAAGAGCCGGTTATGAAAAAACAGCAACAAAATCATCAAAGCATTCAAATTACATGAATTTAACTGAAACAGTTTAGGGTTGTGTCAGTCCCTGCTGGATAAAGTAACATTAAAATGGGACTTTGCTTAAAGAATCATTTTTTTAATAAAACCACAAAAATGTGCATCTTTATTTTATTCGACAAAGGCCAGGCATGGTATGCAAGAGCTTAAAAGACCCAAAAGAGGGAAGTATAGATGTCAGATGTAAAGGATTTTTTCAGTTTACATTGTAAAATTTCATTAACAGACAAATTGTGGAAATTTATGACAAAAGGCTGCATGAAATACGATGGCTTTAATAAACAAATGAATAAAATAAAAGAGAACATTTTAATAACTTCATTTTCACAATTTTGACCTCACAGAGAAAACGCCCCGTGTGGCAGCCCCCTCCCTGGGCTGCCACCTCACCATGGTGGAGGAGTCTGAGTGTCCCATTGATTCTAGGAGCTAAGTTGTTTCAGGCTTTATGCCTCTGGTAGGGTCACTCATGGCAAACAGATTCTAGGTGAGTGATCAGACAAAGTGCAACCCACAGACCCCTTATGAAAAAAAAAATGTACATGGAAGCAGTGTTACCTCACACAAATGTGGGTCCCCAGGGCCCCCCTCTGGAGCCAGGCCTGGTTGCTCCCACTGAGAGGCACAGAGGGGTGGGGTGGGCATATATCTGCACCCCATCTTGGTGCCACGTGTATGTTGGGGTTTACCCCGGTGAACAAGAGGGTAGCCTCCCTCTGCCTACATGTTGGGGGGATGGGTTCTGACCTGAGACAGTAGAAAGGTTCAGATTGGGTTTGTGCTTATGCACCAAACTGCAGGTTAGACTAGCCACGCTTTTTTGAATCCTTGGAGTGGGTGCTGGAGAGAACTCCTTCCAGTGACTTCTTTGTTCTGCTGGGGGACTTGAACTCTCACATGGGCAATGACAGCGAGACCTGGAGGGGTGTGGTTGTGAGGAACTGATCTGAATTCGACTGGTGTTTTGTTATTGGACTTCTGTGCTCGTCATGGATTGTCCATAATGAACACCATGTTCAGGCATAAAGGTGTCCGTGTGTGCTCTAGGCACCAGGATACCTTAGGTCACAGCTCGATGATCCACTTTGTTGTCATCTTATTTGATCTGCGGCTGCATGTCTTGGACATTTGGGTGAAGAGGGGGCGGAGCTGTCAACTGACCACTACCTGGTGGTGAGTCGACTTCGATGGTGTGGGGGGATGCTGGTCAGGCCTGGTAGGCCCAAATGTATTGTGAGGGTCTGCTGGGAACATTGGGCAGAGTCTCCTGTCAGAAGGAGCTTCAAATCCCACCTCCAACTGAATATCCAAAATATTCTGGGAGAGGAGAGGTACATCGAGTCCGAGTGGGACCTGTTCTGTATCTTCATTGTAGAGGTGGCCGACTGGAGCTGCGGCCGCAGGGTCATCAGTGCCTGTCGATGTGGAAACCCCCCAACCCGCTGGTGGACAGCGTCAGGGGATGCTGTCAAGCTGAAGAAAGAGTCCTGTTTAGTCTTTTTGGTCTGTGGTACTCCAGAGGCAGCTGATGGGTACTGGCAGTCCAAGCAGAGTGTGGCTTGGGTGGTTGCGAAAGCAACAACCTGGGAGTGGGAGAAGTTTGTTGACCATGGAGCAAGACTTCTGTATGGCTTTGAGCAGATTCTTGTCCACCATCTGACGCCTCAAGAGGAGAAAGCAGTGCACTACTGATAAAGAAACTTTATTAATTTCTTGCAATGCTTTGTGCATCACTCAACTTGTGCAAACTGTTTGTTCAGCAAATTGTCAGTTGTAATTTTTCTGCACACGTCCTAACATTCCTGGAGTGGTTTACGCCACAGCTTGCACAAATCAGTTTATACAGATTTGTGTTAAATACAAGATTTGATGCATGGAATAATACAGCAGGCAAAAATGCCAAGTATTACAAAAAAAACATTACAGGGATCAAACATTTCAGCATGTCATGTTCTGAGGCAAGAGTCTAACCCAGGACATGCAGAATAAGGAGACAGAGTCGGATTGAATGAAAAAATAATAATTTTAATAAAAAAAACGATGATTTAAGGGCGCACTGGAAATCCAGCGGGTGAGGAAACGGGAAGCAGCGTGGCTTGGGAAGAGGAGTAGTTTGTGGGAGGGGTGAGCCGGGCTAAAATCCAGGGAATGAATGAAGAGCAGTAGAGATGAATAGTGGAGATGGATCCGGACCGGTGTGGTTCTGGAGAGGGGGCGAGATGTGGAGGAGATCGGGTCGGCACTTGGAGGATGGTGAACTGGGAGGCGAACCGGGTAAAAATCCAAAACAGCGTTGGGATGAATCCTGATGAGAATCCAACCTGAGACGAGTAAATTCAAAAATTCATATTAATCGAGGTCACAAGAGAAAACACACGAGAGAACTTGAGCTAGAGAGCAAGCGAAGGCTAGAGACTACCAGTCAATAGTAATCATTATCATCATTGGGGCAGCAGTAGCTCAGGTGAGCGGGTTGCCTCATGATCGGTTCGATTCCAGCTCCCGCCAGGGGTATCCTGCTGTTGTGTCCTTGGGCAAGACACTTCACCCAACTTGCCTGTGTTAGTGGTGGTCAGAGGGGCCGACGGCGCCAAATGGCAGCCTCGCCTCTATCAGACCTCCCCAGGGCAGCTGTGGCTACAAGTAGCTTACCATCACTAGCAGTGTGTGAATGTGAGAGTGTGTGAAAGCGTCTTTGGGTGTCTAGAAAAGCGCTATATAAGTTCAATGCATTATTATTATTATTATTATTATTATTATTATCCGGCGTCGAGTCATGTCCACCTTCCTCCTTATTGTGGACTTCAGGAAAGTCACAGCCCCATCTCTCCCCCTAGTCCTGACGGACACCCCCGTCACCACTGTGGACTCCTTCCGCTTCCTCGGAACCACCATCACACATGACCTTAGGTGGGAGCCATCCATCAGCTCCCTGATCAAAAAGGCCCAGCAGAGGATGTACTTTCTGCGGCAGTTGAAAAAGGCCAAGCTGCCGGCCCAGATGATGGTGCAGTTTTACACGGCCATCATTGAGTCAATCCTCACCTCCTCCATCACTGTGTGGTACGCTGGAGCCACAGTGAGGGACAAAAATAGACTGCAGCGCATTGTGCGCTCTGCTGAGAAGGTGATTGGCTGCAGCCTTCCATCTCTCCAGGACCTGTACGTCTCCCCAGAACTCGGGGGCGTGCAGGTCGGATAGCAGCTGACCCTTCGCACCTGGGTCACAGACTTTTTGAGCCGCTTCCCTCAGGCAGGAGGTTACGGTCCATCCAGACCAGAACCTCTCGCCATAAGAACAGCTTCTTTCCATCTGCCGTTAGATTTGTGAACAGCTTATAAACACACAACCACGCTCGTCTTCTGTACTCGACACAACGTCACGTTATCGGCCATGTTACCATTACCTGCCTTTTTTATAGCAAAGTTTTATGCTAGTTTATTATATTTTATTCTACTTTATTCTATTTTTAATTATATTATTCATGTTATATGTAGCACGTTAGTACCGAAGCAAGTTCCTAGTTTGTGAATTGTTTGTTCACTGACAATGGCAATAAACCTTTTCTGATTCTGATAAGCCAGCCCGCTGATCAGCTGTTGCTCCCTCTCCTGAAACCAAGCACTCAGAGATAGTGAGAACACGAGACGAGTACTCACCCCGACTCATGACGCAGCATAATGTTGAATCAAGAACTGGGAGTCAACCAAGCTCAAAGGCCAAATGATAGTGTGGTTACAAAAAGATTGTTGAAGGTGGCGCCCCTGAGCTTTGTCAGGAGAGCTGAGACGAGGACGTGTTGCATGTGGATGCCAGGAACAAGTTGCATTCACTGTAATGTGACAATTAGCAGTAGTACCTACATAAAGATTGGGAATTTTGGCACCAGATGATCATTTAAAACAAATAGTTATTTTTTGGCAGTAAATGGGCGTCTACAGTGGCCACAGTAGTTTTAATGTGTCTGTGGTGTCTGCAATGACATCAGTGCTATTGATCCTAATAAGATTGTTGTGTCTTGCTGAACAGTTATGCAGTGCAGAAGTGTTAGTGTGGACCCAACGCTTTTTCAGTATCTTCCCAGTAGAATGAGAGGGGTGTGCCAATCCGTACAGGATACAGAAAACGTCAAAAGAACTCAAGACTTAAGGTGTCAACAAAGAAGATTGTTTCCATGAATGAGGAAACAGGACATAAGTAACATGATGCGTTAACTTGTGCAGCTCTAACTATGGCGTATACGGTGTTTCCGTCAAAAGGTTTCTCTTGTAGGTTGGTTCCTGCTGCTCCGTGCACGATAACAGCATGATCAGGATAATTCATCAGGTAAGCATCGTGTAATTCACCTGTAGAAATATTCCGTTGTTTTTACAAACTAATTTTGGCAGCTGTGGTTGCCAGAATAATTCTGTAAAAAATACTTTAAACATGTAAACTGTTTTACTGAACATACAGTAAATTACAATGTTGTTTACTTGTTAAATTTACATACTGCCTCATTATTTTATGCACGTTTTTAGTGTGATTTTATAAGGGATATTTTGTTAAAATAATGATTTTTTTACTGTATTTAGGTCACTGCCGCTCTTGCACTAGCTGAGCCTAGATTTTAACATGTACTGTTTAACCATGAAATTTAAATGTAGGGTAAGACCCAGTGCATTTAACATAACGCTGCGTTTTTGAAAATGTGTTGAGATATGACATGTTTGTGGAGCTGGGTTCCGACTATCGGTATGGTCCCCTCCCCTCAGCGGCAGCTCGGCGCATCTCTGATCGCAGCGGCGCCTGTCCAAATAATATCCAAAAAGGAACGCACAAATGCTTCAACTAATGGTCTAAGTTGAGAGACTGAAAATGGCGGAACAGTTTTCAGGCGAGGCCGAGGCTCAGGCTGAGGCCTTTCCCCAGCGCTAGCGCTGCAGTCACGTGGGCCTGATGCTCATTAATTATTCAGAATTTTAGGCATTTAATACACTTAAACAGAAGAGTGACAAAATTCTGCCCCCTCAGAGTTGTCATGAGTGTAAACTAGATCATTTAAACCTAAAACAAGTTTTGGAACCAGGCTGTGAACATGTTTATTTCTGCTGTGAATTTGGTACTTTTAACATGGGAGTTAATGAGGATTTGCTCGCTTCTGACACCAGCCCCTAGTGGATGAGGGTAGAACTGCAATTTTTTTCACTTCCGTGTTGGCTTCAGTTTCAGACCCGAATTATGGGGGCTTGTGTCAGACCAGCGGAAGGGGCACAACGCAGTTTAAAGTACTATTGCCATAGTAACGTCCACCATTGACAAGAACAGTGGTGGTCGGACAAAATGAAAATTAAAATACTTTTATTTAGAAACTTTTAGAAAATGTAGTGGAGTAAAAAGTACTGATAACTGCTTTAGTGGAGTAAAAGTTTAAAGTAGGCCTTTTTTATTCGATTGAATAATTTTTTCATACTAACACAGGAAAAAGGGAAAAAGGATCATAAACCTATCTCAGCTTAACCCCCCCCCCCCCCCCCCCCTCCCATTGAAAATCACATACATCGGGACCAAAGCCTCGACTTAAGAGGTGCTCAATGTTGTTCTAAGCTTTGCTGCCATGGAGCAAACACTAACCAGCTGTTGCACGCCTGTGGCACTAACAGTTCTCCATATATAAGTAATAATCTCCATCACCAGTGGGTGTCGCTGCTGACGCTGGTACCCAAGCGGTCTGCCAGTCTGTCTGGCACGGATGGGGAGGATGTTTTATTGTGAGCAATGAGAGAGAGAGAGAGAGAGAGAGAGAGAGAGAGAGAGAGAGAGAGAGAGAGAGAGAGAGAGAGAGAGAGAGAGAGAGAGAGAGAGAGGGAGGGCGCGGAAGGGAGGGGAAGCACCTCTGCCGCTCTCCTTGCCTCCTGTGCGCAGTGCTCCGGCCCAGCCGCTCCTACCTTCCCACATCATTTCCTCCCCACAGCTGGCGTCTCCCCTCTGTCTGATGCAGGCTTTCTTCTCACTAACCGAGCTGGAGCAAAGACTTCGGAGGGGTGGAATGACCGTCTGCCTGCTCTGCATGGTCTGAATCTCGGGAAATTCGCACGTCGAGAGTCAAGTGGGAAGAAAGGAGACTCTCCATCCCCGAGGGATTTTATTTTACAGTAAGCAGGCGCAATGTCATTCCTACCGCTTCCTCTTCTCGCTAGAGCCCGTCTCTGCACCTCTCATCTGTTCAAAATGCTTGACGGGAAAATTGTTGGAATGTGACAGCCTGCTGGGAATATGGCCGGATGTAGTACATGAGTGGATGAGTGCGCCAGATGTGTTTTTAACAGATTTATTTAGCGCCAGTTTACTAAAACGTGTGGTGTGAATGGTGTCTTTGTAATTCTCGTGAAGCGCTGATGGGATTTTGCGCGCTTGCGTTGATTCTGCACTGAGAACGGGATCCCCCCCCCATTTCATCTCAGCTGGCTGTGCATCAATCCATCCGAGGCCGGAGTGTGTGGGGGTCGCAGCGATGAGCGGGGGTTTGCTGTGGAAACGCTTTTACTTTCTGATTGACCCAAATTTGAGCGATATTCGGGAGATTATCGCGCGTGACAGCGGCCCAACGTGCTCTGGCTGCGCGTCTTTGTGCCTTTGCAGAGAGACGCTTGGACCTTGTAGCCTATTTTTTGTTTCCCTCTGCCGTCATGAAAGCATGTGCACGTTTATGAAGTGCACCTTGCTGCATGAGCTCCAGCTCCGTGGTGATCACTAAAAAGACTGTTTCTGATCAGTAGCAAGCTGTTTCTCCTCTTCACCCTGGAGTAATCTCACTCATCACGCAGCCAACGCCGGGTTTCTGTTTTAGCAGAGATCCTCAGAACGTTTGCTCCTTGGAGCTGTCTTAGATTGTTTTAACTGTCCTCTTTGTGCTTGAGACACGCCCTTCAGAAGCATGCAGGTTACTCTAGCCATGCTCAGCTCCATGCTCTTATTTCATTAATCTCTTGGGTTTTTAGTGTTGTTAAACATTTGACATGCCCAGTAAAGATGTCTCATCCGCTATATGTCCGTTATGCTAAGGGAAACATGGCCGAGTTTGGCGGTTTATTAAATGATTTAGACCAAAAGGTGCATAGCAGGCAGGTGATAGTCCAGAAAGGTGCAAGGATGAAAAAAATACCTAACAATTAAAAGTGACAGGGTGATAAAGACGAGGATCTGGTAGTGGACGTGCAGATGAGTGAGTGCAGGTGAAGGATGACAGATATGAGTAAGAGGTACAGGTACAGATGAGCTGAGGAGAAACAATATGAGCCCTTTTGACATGTTTTATTGAATGTAGACAGTGTGTTAAATCAAAAATCAGCATGCGGAAATTTACGTGACAAAACTATGAATGTATAAGAAGTTATACAGTAATGATTATATTCAACAGAATTATAATAGTTTCTTATATTGTACAGCTCTAAATGAGAGAGTAGAGAAAGTCTACTGTGGCTGCATCCCATTTAGAGGTTCTGCTCATTAGTATTCGAACAACCAAAGTGTGCAGCCACATGTTTGGAATGCTGCCCTTGTTAGTACATGTGTGCTTCTCCTCGTCTTGCCAGTGAAAATGGGTCCGCTGAAAAGTGAACACACATTAAAGGCCGTGGTAGTTTTGCTCATTCATGCATGAATTATGACAGAGGTCAAGGGTGGACCCCCCCCCCCCTCCTCCACACACACACACACACACACACACACACACACACACACGGGCTGCACGGTGGCGCAGTGGTTAGCACTGTTGCCTGGCAGCACGAAGGTTGCAGGTTCGAAACTCGGCTCAACTGCGGCCTTTCTGCGTGGAGTTGCGTGTTCTCCCCATGCATGCGTGGGTTTCCTCCGGATACTCCGGTTTCCCCCACAGATCACAACATGCCCTATAGGTTATAAATTGTAAGTCGCTTTGGATAAAAGCGTCTCCTAAATGAATATACATAAACACACACACACACACACCCTCTCCACCCCAACCATCCTTATTCATCTTTAGGTGCAAAACACATACGTTTAAACTGAATTTGAACTTTGTTTCCTTCAAAACTTTTTTTCAAATATCCACTCAAACATGCATTTAGATTTGTGAAAAATCGACAAATTATTGACTCAGCTGCCCTGGGGCGCACTGACAGGGGCGAGGCCACCGGCCACTCCCTTTCCAACCACCATCGGCAGACAAGGGGGGTGTAGGGTCTTGCCCAAAGACACAACCTAGCCATGAGCGGGGCTCGAGCCTTCAACCTTAGGATTACTGGGTAGGCACGCAACTCTTCTGCCACCATCGCCCCATAATTATCTTAATTAAATGATAAAAATGCCATTGAAACTTAATTCACAGACATAATTAGCAGCCAATAAAGTGATGCACTAGAATCAAAGTGGTGGCTTAATTGCAAGTATCCCGACAGCTTCTGTCTGACCATAGTGCATGAAAGGGTTAAACATCAGGGGATCTGCTTTTGAGTGTTTTGTGAATTTCAATCAGTCAAGTCACTTTCATGAAACAAGGTTAGAAGATGTTTGAATTAGCAAGTTTCAGCATGATGCCCTGTTTATAATCTAGTTAAAAGCTTTTTTAGCAAGCTTTTGGTGCTGCTAAAGTAGGCTAGCGGTCCATGCCAGCTGCGTTGCACGGTTTATTCTAGCAGGTGAGTATGCAACTGGTGAAGAGCTCTGGGCTGAAGTGTGAAAATCCCCTGAATGTAAATGGAGTTCAACAAAATATCTGTAAAAAACGTTTAAAACTAATTATTTTGTAATGATTACTTTAAAGAAAACACATTTTAGGTATAAATGTGGAACACAAAAAATTCCACAAAATAACAAGAAATACAGAAGAGATCATTAGAAAAATAATTCAGGAGTGCTTTAGGAAACCTTAGTCTACTCAGGATTGCTCAATTTGCCATCATCCAAAATCTACAAAGCCAACCACATAAACATTATTGTTTAAGTTAAAGTTTGAATTAAATCTTTCTTTTTAAGCTTAAAGTGACAGCATGGATTTTCCCTGGTGATGGGGGCAGTAGATACTAAAAATTGTTGCCAGCAAGCTGTATTTTTGTGTTGGAGGAAGATCTTACCAACGGATCCCCATTAGGGACAATAAGCCCTGGGGAGTGCAAACTTCAGCAAAATGACAGTCACATCAGACTCGCTTTCATCAGTGGCAATGAGTGAAGAGATAAATGTGTAAAACAACGTTTAGATATGGTGAAAGTTTTGTAACCTTAACTTACAAATCAGTAAATGCATTAAGTCCTCAGGGGCTCCCGTAGAAGGAAACATGACATCTAATATGGCGTCGCCCAGAGACTCAGACCCGCTCCCGTGTGTTTTAGACCTGATTTTTACGGTTATATTTTAAGAAGTCGCCAATATTTTTCAACAACTGGGTATCATTTCATTCATTTTCAACATTTTGATGGATATTTACAGAGATGAATGATTAAAATCTACACATTGTCACTTTAACTTCCAAGTAAAGATAGGTTTTATAAATAAATAAATAAATAAATGAATAAATAAATAAATAAATAAATATAAATAATAAACTACAGTCAGGATTTAGCTTAGTTAGATTTGTATTCTTGGGCATTTAAAACATCTAACTGCTTATTTATAATGGTAACACAAGGTAACACAAGTCGAGGATGACTGTGTGGCTTGAACCCAACGGTTTAATTGAGGCTGCTTGTTTCCTGGCAACATCAAAGTCAGGATAACCAGTCATAATAAAATGAGTGTGGTATCAAAATGTTATGGACCTGAAAAGATCATAAAAAAAACATCTGAGTTTGCTAATCAAAAGCGAAAGAGGAATTTCAAACTACTACTGCTATCACTATAATCAGTTTTCTGTTTTTGAATCCGGTTTGTATTTAGTCTTGCAGAGCAAAAGCAGTTTGTGTTGACTGACTGCTACAATGTGCCTTTTGCAACATCTCAACCAGGGCTTTAAACACTCAACACACACAGGTGAGAGTGCCAGCCAGTGTTCTCGTCACACAACATTAAATTTATCAAAGAGCTTCTTTTCCCTAATGTTGTATTCCCGCACCACGCTGAGCTGCATTACAGGAAGCCAGGCGTCTTCGGAGAGTATTCAGCTGTTATTCTGGGATGTAGTACCCAATCACCTCCACCTCCATCTCCCGTCTTTCCAACCCCTTGCTCTCCATTTCTCTGTCTAATTGCCAAAGATTCATGGTAGACGGCAGGATGACCCTCATAGCTATACGTCCCTGGAGGAACATCTGGAAAATGATGCACTACGCCATGGTTCAGAGAAAGGTTTTCAACACGTTATCTTCCCTTCTCAAAGACGTTGCCTTGGCTGCTTCGGCCTCAACAGGCTTCATTAAGTTTTTATATTCAGAAGATGATCCATGTGATGTGGACCAACCCATAATAACCTCCCACTGACTTATCCAAGACCTACAGTCTCCTGGAGCTGGAGACGCCTGCATATAGAAACAAACACAACAAGGCTCAGTCTTCCGCTTTAATTCATTATCACTGCAGTAATTTTAACATTTCAAATATGGAGTAATGTTAGCCGTTAGATGGAGAACTTGGTGCATCGGTCAATACACGTTTAAATGAATCAATAGTGCAATGCCAGCATCTAAAAATCACAAACAGGCTAGAATGAAAACAAAACCACCGGACTCATTACAGAGAGCACATACATGGTTTTAATGATTAATCACACCCCTTGACCCACAAATGTTGATTACACGAGTTTCTATATTACTGTATTTAGTTGTTGAAATCATATATATGTGCAGATTCTTTACAATAATAGATTCTTATGACTTGTGATGCTCCTGAAGGCACTTACATAATGACATCATAATGTTTTTTTTTATTATCTTTATTTCATTCAATAAAAAAATAACACAGCAGATACTAAACAATATTCATAAAAACACAATGTATATTTGAATGAAAGGGAGCAGATAGAAGAAAAATCTTATTATTTCTGCCCCCTTTTTAAACTTAAATATCAATTTATATTTGTGCAGTCCCTCACCAGTTCTTTCAGTCCCGTAACTGTTCACATTTGTTAATTATTATGTCCACATCAATTGTCCGTTGTCATATCCACTCAACACACGTGACT